GTTTGGCTCAATTGATATTAACATCTCATAATATTTTGTTTAAATGAGGTTGTAAGTTTCTGAATATTCATATTTTTTCCTTTTTCCTTTTGATTTTTTTTTTTAAAAACAGGCACATACACCACGCGTAACGAATCCCTGAGCCCTCACAATTGGGATATTTTTCCTTATGGTGGGATTTTTATAGCATATGCAATTGGATATTTCAGACCAAAGACAAAAGGATAACATAATCTGAGAAAGATGCCCATATTTAATACCTAATAATACCTCGAACATGATTGCCGCCAAAAGAATATTTATGCCTACGAAGAATTTTTTTTTTTAAAAAAAAAAACTCGTAGTTAGGAAACAAATAAAGAACTGTCGTCATCCAACATGGTCCATGAAATGGCATGCATTGGCAGGCATTTTTAGGGAAAACCATTTTGTAGGTACCTATAGTTTCACCCAATTTTTAATTTGGTACCTATACTTTCTTTTCTTTTTTTTAAAAATCCTTCAAGTTTCTCCCGTTACTACCTACAGTTTGAAAAATACATTGAAGGGCTAACAGAAGGATAGACATCGTTAAATTAGAAAAGTGGAGGGAAATAAATCGACGAGCATGCAGTAGCTTAAAATGTCCTTTACTCTGTTCACTTCATTTCAGTGATCTTAATTCTTTTTTTGAGGAGTTTTATCTTCTTACTGATAGGAATTAGAGCAACAGAAATGAAGGGAGAATAAATAAATATATTAAAAATATATTAAAGCAAGTATAATGCCTAGATAGATTGTAAATTTTAATTCTTTTCCCTCCAGAAATACAAGAATTTTCACAGGCAAAACAGGATTACGGTTGCAGTCTTTGATTCCAGGCACACTGACGTTTTCATTAACCTCAATCCTACAGCCCATTTTCTAGGAGAAAACACAAACAAACCTCACAAAAACTTATCGTAGTGGTAAACTAATCAAAAGTCAAATCACCGTCCAAATACAAACCTCACAAAAATCAACGTCACCAGATCGACCTCAACCATGATTTAAACCCTTTAACATTCCATTCCACTAAAAGCCAAGATTCTCACGGAGGTCGCTCTGATTCTGTCGCATACCTCCTCACCCAAGTTGCTTTGATTTTGTTGAAGACCTCCACAGTCCTCACCCAGATGGTTTTGATTTCTTTGACCCAAAAAAAAGAGAGATTGCTCTGATTCCGTCAAAGACCTCCTCACCTGGATCACTCTGATTCCATCAAAGACCTCCTCACCTGGGTCGCTCTGATTCCATCGAAGATCTCCTCACACAGGTTGCTATGATTCCGTTAAAAATTATAGGCTTTAACAACGTCTATCCTCCCGTTGGCTTTCCAATGTATGTTTTAAACTGTAGGTACTAACGTTATAACGGGAGAAACTTAAGGGATTTTAAAAAAAGTAAAAAAAAAATAGGTACCAAATTAAAAATTGGGTGAAACTATAGGTACTTGCAAAATGGTTTTCCCGGCATTCTTATAAGCACCATTTGAGTTTCGAAATTTGATCTCAGTAAGTCTCTCCATTCACCTATCTTGACCATACAAGTTATTTAGACAACTATAAATGCATAGTTGTTTGTGTTTTTTTTAATGTACAAAAGAAGGCGAAGCTTAGTAGAAAATCAAATCAAATCATGGGGATTGAAATCTCATAACATCTTTCTTCGTCATGGTCCTCGTGTTGATGAGGCGCCGTATCAAAAATGGATGTAGCTACGAGCCCATGTTTAGCTAAGCCATCTGCAATTAGAAACCTCGTACAATTGTTTGTGCTGTTAAAGTAAGACTACTCATTTTTAGACGACTACAACATTTCTTTTAAAGCTATATATACATGAACTTGATGGTTCACTTCAACCCAATCCTGCCTGGTGAACCAAGCCTAGTTGCAGGTTGACCTAGACCATGTGTGGATTAAGAAATTTAGTTAGTTATTTATAATAAATATGTGTTGTATTTCTTAAAATATATTTACCAATCAAATATATTGGCTAAAATTACTATTATTACAATAACTACCTTAAAAAAATAGATATGAGAGACAAAATAGATTAAGGTCTTATATTTAGGATTACAATAAAAATTAAACAAACTCTTATATTAATTACTAGAGGCAGCACATCATGCTAGACATTACCTCAAGCTGTATGTCATATGGTCTCCAATGTAATTCCTCGTTATAAAGAAAGCCAACGTCAGAAGATGTTTGGACAATTTGAGTTGCAAAAGGAACAAGTCGCAGCTACAAAAGGAAAATGGTAGCCATACGCACGGGACCTATGTGCAGCCGAAGACGATGACCTCTATGACGCATGCAGGAAAATATTAAGAGTCAAAATCAGAACTACACACATGCGAGAACCCCGAGAAAGAGGTAAGAAAGGAAGAGACTTAGGTCATACTACTCAGAAAGGGAAGGGAGTTTTGTTGACCTGCTCAAGAAAAGAGCCCCACTATAGATGTATATATATTCTTCCGGTTCTTAATATAGAATTTAATTATTAAGTTGATTTTGATCCTAAATGAAAAATATATTTATTATATTTATCAATTTTTTTTCTAAATTATCTTTATTGATATTCGTACAACCATAATCAAATAGGACATGGAAGGAGGATATTAAGAAAGATAATTATGGTATTTTAGAAAAAAAACATATCATATTTCTTATAATTAACTAACTCACTTAACTTCCTTAATCTAATCAAATTAGTTAAATAGGCATTATATTAAGGATCGGAAGAGTAGTTAATAAGATTTATGATGTATACTAGTAACCATAAGTAATTCAATTAAAATGTAATCAAACTAATGCACCTCAATATTGTACATGTTTTTTGATCAGCCCGCTATTTGTATAGTATCTTTTTTAAAAATTATCCTCACGCCCCATATGCTATATATTTTGCAATTGTTATTATGGGAATAGTAATGTAAATTATAAATGATTTAAATTTTACAAACTAACTTTTACATTATAGTTATTTATGAAAAATATATGCGTGTAGTATAAACACTAAATCAAACATAAATATAAAGAGTGAAGGACTAGTTAATTTTTCTGTCTTTTTAATAACCGGAAAAGTCTATTTTTTAGAGCACGTAATTTTTAATTAAATTATAAATTAATTATATTTTAATTGAAACTCATATTTTTAATTTATTTAAATAAAAATAATTAATAAAATTGCAAATGGTTTAAATTTTATGAACTGAGTTTTACATATGATAATTACTTATAAAAATTTATTTATGCAGGAATAAAGAATGGACAATAAATCAAACCTAAATATAAATTAGACTTTTCTATTTTGTTAATAATAACAATAATAGGATAAGTCTATTTTTTAGATTACATTATTTTAAATTAAATTATAAATTGATTATATTTTAATAAAAAAACCATATTTTTGATGCATTTCAATTAAAATTAAAAATTATTAATAAAATTATGTAGAAGTCTAACTTGTTTTAAAAAAAGGAAATTGGAAAATACCCGTGACGTGCCTAATAATTTAACATTGAAGGAAGGTGCTCATCTTAGTATGATTTGTTTTAATTAGTGATTCTCGTGTATTTGTATGGAGTTTGAAAGTTATGATGACATTTTGTCGTGTTTTTTTTTGTTTTTAAAAACAACACAATAATTTTTGTTGAGTAGAAAACTGGAATACATTCATAAAGAGCCAACTTATAAATACAAGATCTATGACCTGTTTAGAACAGTTTATAAGTAGCTTTTTAATAGTAATTTATGGAATACGAGACAAATATACGAGAAGAATTTTGTCTGGACTTACATAAAATGTGCTTACAGAGAATTTCTACTATTATCCTAAACAAGTACCTAGTCTTCAGGCTCAACATCCACCACAGGAGTTCGAGGTGGAGGTTGGTCCAGAAGGCAATAGACATCATCCATGCCATGAGAGGTTTTGGCTGAATAATCAACTAATCCTGTCCCTACTAGTGTAACTAAAACTAACCTACCAATCTCAATGGAGCAACAATCTAATTTCATCAATCAAATTTTTAAAGGGATGATCGACATCACATCCCCTCAAAATCAGATTGATTGCCTCTATACAGTTGGACTTGACAATTATTTTTCTAAGATTTTTAGACCAACATACATTTAAACCATGCAAAATCCCAAAAACTTTTGCCAAGACCGAGGGTACTGGTGTGTTTGGATGAAACCAAACTATAGTTTGAAGAATAGCTTCTGGAGAATAAATTCTGAAAAAAATAGATTTTGTGAAAAAGTGATTCTAAGAAGAGAGTGTTTGGATATTGTTATCAGAAGCACTTTTTATATGTACAAATTATTAAAAAAAGCATAAGTTAATATGATAATTACATAAAACATAGATTGTATGATATATTTTAATTTGAAGGAATAAAATTGTTAATAATATATTTTTTACCAACATAATTAATAATACATAAGATAATATAATTAATAAATAATTAATATGTGTATATTTATTTATAAGATATAAGATTAAATATGTTTATAAAAAATTAATTAAGGGGTGTTAAAGTCATATTATTGTTGAGATTTACTCTAATAGGCACAATCATATTCCCCAATTTGAACTAGAAGCAGAATGGATTCACTTCTCCCGAAACCATGGTTTTGGGTTCCAAAACCATGGTTTCAGATAATTCGTGCCTGTTTGGGTTGTTTTTTTCCCAAACATGGTTTGGCTCGCTATCCAAACAGGGCCTTAAAACAGTCTTGCATTGAAAACCGCATAACGAGCTTCCTTCTTGGCTTCGCAACACAATAATTTGGAAGAGAGTCTTAAGAATCCTTGTTATTTCCATATTCAGTTTAATCAGGTGAAATTAAAAAAAAAAAAAAAAAAAGCTAACGCAAGGCGCCAATTGTGCGTATGTTAGCTCATTAAACGTTGAGAACACTATCTTACGCACGTAAACGATATCACTCAAAACCTAGACAAACCACCCGGCACCCGCCTCTCTCTCTCTCTCTGCCCCCAGCGCTCACGGTGCTTTTGAAGGCCAATCATACACAGTGCCTTTCTGTTACAGGTTCTTTATCTCTTTTCCTTCCTCAATTCGCCCTTACATTTCCCTCTTTACTCTATTCTTCAGCTTCATGGGGTCCCAATTGTTACTAAAACCTTTCAAATCATCACACACAGTTTCTAATCTAGGGTTTTCAAATCTTCCTCTTAACTTCATGCTTTCTTCTTTCTGTATTGGACAATGCTAATTGAAAGAGTAGAATAGTTTACTGGTCTGGCAGTTATATTGTTGTTGTGAATATACATTCTTTTTCTTTCTCACATGCAATGGGTAATGTTGACATTCCCAATTGGCTAAAAGCCTTGCCATTGGCTCCGGAATTTCGCCCAACTGATACCGAATTCGCCGACCCAATTGCTTACATTTCAAAGATTGAGAAAGAAGCTAGCGCTTTTGGGATATGTAAGATCATTCCGCCATTACCCAAGCCTTCTAAAAAATATGTGCTCTCTAATTTAAACAAGTCTCTTTTGAAGAGCCCGGAATTGGCTTCAGATAGTAATTCAGTTGAAGTTAGTAATTCCTCGAAAATTACTTCTGGGGATAGTGGTAGTGATGGGGAGGCACGGGCTGTGTTTACCACAAGGCATCAGGAACTGGGGCAGAGTATTAAAAGAACCAAAGGAACAATTCAAAGCCCACTTTCAGGTGTTCATAAGCAAGTATGGCAGAGTGGGGAAACTTATACACTTGAACAGTTTGAGTCTAAATCAAAGGCTTTTGCAAGAAGTGTACTAGGCATGGTTAAGGAGGTTTCTCCTCTGGTTATAGAGGCTATGTTTTGGAAGGCAGCTTCAGAGAAGCCTATATATGTGGAGTATGCCAATGATATGCCTGGGTCTGCTTTTGGGGAATCCAAGGGTCAATTTCGTTATATTCATAGAAGGCGAAGGAAAAAGGCTTATTATCAAAGGAGTCTAGATACCACAGATTGCCAAGAACCCAAAATTGATAAAATAAGAGATACCCGGACTAGCGAAAGTAAGGATGCTTCTGCCCATGGTCGTGAAGACTCATGCTTACAGACCTCAAATTCAACTTCAACTCCATCAACATTTTCATCAAATGAAGCCCTACATTCTATTAGGCAGAAGAGTTCAGATTCCAGCGACGAGATGGAAGGTAGTGCTGGTTGGAAGCTTTCAAACAGTCCTTGGAACTTACAAGTTATTGCACGTTCACAAGGCTCGCTAACTCGTTTCATGCCAGATGATATTCCTGGTGTTACTTCCCCCATGGTATACATTGGTATGCTGTTCAGTTGGTTTGCTTGGCATGTAGAAGATCATGAACTTCACAGCATGAATTTTCTTCACATTGGCTCATCAAAAACTTGGTATGCTGTTCCTGGAGATTATGCCTTTGCTTTTGAGGAACTCATCCGCAATGAGGCTTATGGTGCCAATATTGATCACTTAGGTATGTGAATTACTTTATCATGAAATTTTTAAGGAATCTTGGCTTCAAAGGATGAAGAAGCATTTGCTGAATTTGCCTAATCTTTTAGCAAAATGCTTCAGTTAGTTCTCTCAAGTTTATGAAAGGGAATTTTGGAATTAATTATAATCTATATATTTGGCATTTTCAGAAAATATATCATATTTCTATAGTATTATTTTCACTATGTTTGCCTGCATCTGGGGCTGCCTTGTGTTTGTACCCTTCCTTACCAACATTGTTGTGGTATATTGAATCTATAATTATAAATGAGGATCACTATTGGAGTTAAAGTGAATTTTAATTGCAGGTCGTTACACTAGTTATTGTTTGTAAGATTATTGCTGATGTATTCTGTAGTTATGGCTTACCTTCAAGTTCTCATGAACAATCCGATCCAAACTAAATTTAGTTCATCAAAAGTTGACCCTTACATCTAAACTAATTATCCAATTTCTCAAAAATTTCTGACACTAGCGTTGCCGTGATATTGCGGAAGGCAAAGGGGGTCATGAAACTGATGAAATGAATGCGTGTTAAGGGACATAATTTGATCACACTTGAAGATATTTCCAATAGAATATCTATGCATAAAGGAAATTAAGTTCCGATAGTATATCTATGCATAAAGGAAATTAAGTTCATTAAAAAATTTATAGGACAAGTACTTGAAATTGGGAAACATCACAAAATTCTGAGAAATTATTTGGTTTTATACTGATAATGAGAGGAAAAAAGATTCTATACTCATACTATAAATTATTTGATCTAATTAATATATTCTGATTTTTTTCTCTACTGTAACCTTGGGTGTCATATTCTCTGCCCACAAAATTTCCTTTCTTTCCAGCTGCTCTGACTCTGTTGGGGGAGAAGACAACCCTTCTATCACCTGAGGTGGTTGTTGCATCTGGAATCCCTTGTTGCAGGTGAGTTGATTGATATCTTTGATATGTCTTTTCTCCAACTATTTTTACTAATTAGTTGAAATTATTATTCTACTTGGACAGGCTTATTTTCTTATAGCTTATATTCTACTTATAAATATAAACAAATTTGTATGTGTTCGAGTCAGCTTATGTTAAGTTGTATAAGTCTGCACTAGAAGCTTGATGAGAAAGGTCTTTTCAGCTTAGGTGGAGCTGCATGAGTATTAATGTATTTTTGCATACAAATACATATATGACCTACATAATCACTTACTGGTGTACATTGAAACACGTTTATTTGTTTTACATCATTTATTGCAAAGGAGCTTACTTATCTTGCTTTTCATGTGAAAGCACTTGTTTATTTCTTTGATCTAGACAGTGTGAGTGGTTGTGATCTGAGATTGTTTGGCACGTTTTTTATTCTATTATTGTCCTTGTTGAAGTTCTGTTCATACATGTCCTCATTTTTCCATTAGGTTGACGCAGAACCCTGGAGAATTTGTTGTGACCTTTCCAAGGGCTTATCATGTAGGATTCAGCCATGGTAATTACTTCGAAACTTTTTTACATTCAAAGGATGTTGCATGTTGCATAGTCTGTAAAAAGATTGGTTTAGAAGAGCTCTTCTGGAATGTGCTTTTCAATTCATTGTACATGGGGAAATTATGTGCTTATAAAGGACCATAGTTTGAAATGTTGATGTTTCATAATAATGTGTGAAGATGGTAATGTTTTGGAACTTCAATATGTTTTTTTAAGAATATAAAAAAGGTATATCAAAATTTTTGTTCTTTTGATTTATGTTGAAATATTTTGGCCTGTATGTGGCCCAAGAATGAACATGCAGGCAGGTGAACATTTGTCCTGATTAAAACTGGTTGAATACAATTTTTTTAACAACAATTTCTATATTTTTTTTAACCAGAGAATGCCATCTGAAATTTTCATAGAGAATGTCATCTGCTAAGATAAACCTGTGGTGCTATTTAGGTTTTAACTGCGGGGAAGCTGCTAACTTTGGAACTCCACAATGGCTCACAGTGGCCAAGGAAGCTGCAGTGCGTAGGGCTGCAATGAATTATCTTCCCATGCTTTCCCATCAGCAACTGCTTTACTATTGACTATGTCTTTTGTTTCAAGGTGAGGCTAATCATCATCATTTGAAATCCTCCAGCCACTTGATTTTTACAGCAACTTGCTTTATTTCTTTTCTTGCCCATGGGTAAATTATATGGGTGATGATCCCTTTTTTTTTTTTGGGGGGGGGGGGGGATAAGAAGTTGATGATCAGTTTTAATATTGCTGTGCTGCTTATAACTGTGAACCTACTATTTCAAGCTCTGTTTTGAGATGAAATATTTATGCAAGTTCTTTATTAGTACCATAAGGTCAGAGGCATTCTTTATTCAAAATAGATATATTTCTGGGTTCTTATGAATGAAATTGAAAGTTGATGTGACATGGTTTACGCTTTGGAGAGCTGTTTTAAATTATTGGCCAAAGTTAAAAAAGAAGATATTTTTGATTGTTTAGATTTGTTCTTGAAGTGCAATTCCTTTCATGGCTGCTCTTTCTATAAATCTCTGTCTACACTCCTTGGAATTGATATCTCAAACATTCTTCTGTCTTGCATTCACACTACTGTGCAATATAGATTTAACTGTTGTTCAAGAAGAAATCAAGGGGCCATCTAATATTTTTTTCATTTGTGATGGTGATCTCATTGATACATTTGGTAGAGTGCCAAGAACGTTATTACCGGGTGTGCGGAGTTCCCGTCTGCGAGACCGTCAAAGAGAAGAAAGAGAATTGTTAGTAAAAAGATCTTTTATAGAAGATATGCTGCAAGAAAACAATCTCCTATCTATTCTTCTTGGAAAGCAGTCAACTTATCATGCTGTTTTATGGAATGCTGATTTACTCCCTGATTCAAGCAAGGATTGTCCTCAGTTGCCTGACTCAACTTCTATGACTAGAACCTCTATGACGGACAATATGTCAAATTTGACTGCTATAGATAAGAGCAGTCACAGTTGTCTGTTAGATGAAATGAGCTTGTATATGGAGAATCTGACTGATTTTTATCTTGGCGAGGACAGTCTTCCATGTCACTTCCAAACTGATTCAGGAGCGTTGGCTTGTGTGGCTTGTGGAATTCTTGGTTTTCCGTTCATGACTGTGGTACAACCATCGGAGAGATCAGCAATGGAAATTTTGCCAGTCTCAGGTAATGGTCTTTTTCCTGTCTTTTGCTCTTTTTTCTTCTTTGCATTTTTATATATAGTTCCTGGTATGAGTTTTTCTTTTTTTGGGAAGATTTCAGAAAGAGAATTTTGAAATTATCATTTCCCAATTCAAGCACCTAAGAGCTGGACATGACAGAGAAGAAAGTGGTGCTTGATATGATATTTTGCAAATATTGTTAAATGACTAAAATGCCCTTGTATCAGATTTGAAAAAAGAAGCTATCAAACTTGTCATTGTCAGTTTACAACTTGTTAATAACCTTTTTTATATAAGGGCATTTTAATCATTTAACTACATTTGCAAAATACCAGATCATGTGTCACTTCCTCCTCTGGGATTTTGAAGTGTTAGGTGCCTGATTTTGGAATATCACATTTTCCAGTTTCCTTATTTATCATTTTCTCTTTTTTTTTGGGGGCCACATGGCAAATTGAGCATGACTGTCATTATGGACTAGAAAGATATGAGAAATTTTAATTTATAGAGTTTTAATTTTTGCAATTGTCTAAATTCAGATCGTTCCAAGTTAGCAGCATCAAATATGATATTCATTTGAATTGTGGAAATTAAGACGGTTGTGGAGCTCTTTCAAATGGTAAAAGGGAGTTTTTTGTGACTGAAAAGTACTTAATAAGGTAAAAAGGAAGTTCTATGTACGGCTACTCAACTAGCAATGCTATATGGTAGTGAATATTGGGCTTTAAAGGAACAACATGAGCATAAAGTAGGGATAAGATGTAGCTGAGATGAGCATGCTGAGATAGATATATGGTCATACAAGAAAAGATAAGATTCGTAATGACTATATATGAGGAGGAGTTGGAGTAGCATCTATTGAAGAGAAAAGGGCAGAAAATTGTTTGGGGTGGTTTGGACATGTACAGAGAAGGCCATTAGGTGCGCCAATGAGGAAGGTAAACTAAACAATTTGGAGTCATGTGAAAAGGGGTAGAGGAAAACTGAAGAGAACACTCATTGAGGTTATTGAGCTAGACCTCTTGGCTAACAATTTATCTAAAGATTTGGTTGTTGATAGAATTCAGTAGTGTCATGCTTGTTGTTGTTGTGGAGCTCTTTCAAATGGCCAAAAGCCTTGTTTTATCCTTCGTGTGCAAATCCTTGGATATCATTTCATTAATAATAACTATGCTGAGTACAGTTTGGTTTCAGTAACACATTTGATTACCACAGCTTGTGTTGAGATTCTGAAGGTTTTGTTCCAACATAAAATTTGAATTTCCCTCTTATCAGCATGCCTTCACATGATTGAAGCTATTTTTACCTTGTCTAGCAGCTGGTCTTGTAGAAATGCTCAAATGCAAAACCGTATCATTTGTTCTGCAGGGAATGCTCTTTCTGTTAGTGATCCACCTTCAACAAATGAACCATTGAAACTATCATTAATGAACCGTGACAAGGGTTGGAACACCTCTAGTAAATTTTTGAGGCCACGAATTTTCTGCCTGGAGCATGCTGTTCAGATTATGGAGATGCTACAGTGTAAAGGTGGAGCTAGTGTGCTTGTAATTTGCCATTCAGGTTTGTGTACCCATTTTCCACCAGCTTTTATCATAATTGATCCCTGTCCTCCCTGTTGCACGTGGTCCTTTCTTTATATCTCCATGAGGGCTAGGTTTACAGTTTTTGGACAGAAGAGATCTATTTTTTGCAACATTAATGTGGCCTAAGCCCAACGAAAACAAGAAAAACTAGCAGGAGGCCAATCATAGGAACAAGGCCCAGCAAGGTTGCGTAAATCAGCTGGTGCTCTCAGAATTAATGAAAACAAGCAGAAAGAATATGTAGACTTACAAATATTACCTCATCATTTTTTTCCTGATTTATTTTCTGCATTTTTTTTTCAGACTACCAGAAAATCAAAGCACATGCGAGTGCAGTAGCAGAGGAGATAGGCTGTGCTTTTGATTATAATGAGGTTCCGTTAGATACTGCATCCCCTGAAGATTTGACCTTGATAGACCTTGCGATTGATGGTGAAGAACCCAATGAATGTGAAGAAGACTGGACATCTAAATTAGGAATTAACCTGCGGTATTGTGTCAATGCAAGAAAGAACACTCCGTTTAAACAAGCTCCTTTCAAATTGGCTCTGGGAATGTTGTTTCCTGAGAAATTTCCTGATTCAGTTGTCTTATCTGTAAATTGGCAGTCAAAGAGATTTCGCTCCAGAAGGTTGAAGTATTTAGCTCAGGCACAAGCATGTGATGGGATTCAGAGAAAGAATGGTGATCAGTTGGAAGGAAAGACAAATGGCTCCAATGAAAAAAAGATGCTTCAGTATTCAAGGAGAAAATTCAGGTCAAAGCAAGGTTGTTTCTCTGGATCAAACATGGTTCATGTACCGCACCAAGAGTCCATAAATGTGCCAACTGTCTTGAGTGGAGATTCTGGTGGCCAGGTTTCTGAAAATGGCCCTGGCACTGAGAATTCTAGGAGTGATTGTGCATTGTCATCTGTCCTGCAGAAAATGGCCGCTAGTCTGAGTTTGAAAGTTGCTTCTTCACAACCTTCAGATTTCACCCTGGAACCTATGTCAGTGGACGAAAATGATGGACGAGAGGTCCAGAATCAGACTACAGAGGAATTAAATATTGATGGAAAAAGTAGTTGCACAACACCTGATCATTCTATGATGGCTTGTAAGATGGGTGCTTCAGAAATTGGTACTAAGGACAACGAAATTTCGCACGAGAGGATAAATTGTAGCTCACTTACGATTGCTAAAGACAAAAATATTGACATGCTTGCTGAGAATCTTATCGCAAAAGCAATTAACACCAATTATAGCAATAGCCTGGATTTCAATGGAGTGCATCAAGATTTTGATACTACCCACAAGAGTAACAGGGTGGAAGCTACTTCATCTCCTGTTTCATCGGTAACTCAGCAGACGCTTCCCATCATGGAAGAAAATTCTGATCTTGCTAGGAGGAATCATAACACTGAAAGCATGAGCCATGCATCCTTAAAAGAGATGATAGACACTTCTAGTTTGAATGCAAACGACAAGGAGCTTACTGTAAGCTGTGATAAATCAATAAATGAACAGACGTCAAAGATTGGTGCTCATGAAATTCCAAGAGAGCTTTGTGCCCCTGCAGATTCCTGCTGTCAATTTACTTCGGATGTGAGGAAAGAACTGGAAATCCAGCCAAGAAGCATGAATGATGAGGAAATCTGCTCTGGTACTGGTGCTGAGCCATCATTAAAGGATTCTCCTCTGTCAATCCGGGAGTGTTCTGCAATTGAGGGAGAGAAATATGCTAGAGATAGCTTAAATGGAAGTAAAGTTCATTTTTCACAAGACTATAGGGAGCTGCCAAGCTCTGAAAATTCTCCAGGCCTTAGGTCAAATACCCGGAAGAAAAGAAACAGGGAATTGGAACATATACAAGAGATCAATGTAAGTTTCCGTGGCTTTGTTAGAAGTCCATGTGAAGGGTTGAGGTCGAGGGCTTGTAAAGTAGCCTCTGGCAGAAGCATGGCTGAAACCAGCAATTCTGTGGAGGAAAATCCGGAGGTTAAAAGGGCTCGGAGGAAATCATCAGATGTGGTGTATAGCAAGAGCAAAAAGGATGTTATTAAGAGGTCTCACAGGTGTGACATAGATGGTTGCCATATGAGATTTATGACCAAGGAAGAGTTAATGTTACACAAACGCAACCGCTGCCCTCATGATGGGTGCGGAAAGAAGTTCAGGTCCCACAAGTATGCTGTGCTTCACCAGCGTGTCCATGATGATGAACGGCCCCTCAAATGCCCATGGGAAGGTTGCTTAATGTCATTCAAGTGGGCATGGGCCAGGACCGAGCATATACGGGTGCATACTGGGGAAAAGCCATACCGCTGCAAGGTTGAGGGATGTGGCCTTTCGTTCAGATTTGTATCTGATTATAGCAGGCACAGGCGGAAAACTGGGCACTATGTAAAGTCACTTGACTGAGATAAAACATTCATTTGCCATCAGACTGTTTTTGTAACATCATGCACATACGCAGCTAGTCTCAGGATATCATGTCTGACCTGATATCTTCTGGTTAGGTGTAAAGTTAGGAATTGAATGGTTGTTTTGTAGGTTATTGTAATCCAATGTATCTTGAAGGTGGTGAAAGTGGAGTAGTTCAGAGAATTTTTTCATCTTTCTGGATTATTTGACGGCAGATTTGGTAGCTGCGGCAGCATCAAGCTCCGGGAGAGAAGAAATATCATATTGTTGGCTGGTCACATTCTTGCTGGCCCACATTTTGTGAAGCTGCCTGTACTTATGGATCTTTTGGTGCTCTGGATAGTTTATTGTGCACTCAAGAGTACTTGAGATTGAGTTCATTTGTCCTCTAGGAAGACCAAAGTGGGCAAAAATTCAGTCAAAGCAGGACGCGTCCGATGATTGAATTTGCTTTTTTCCATTCATTTGTCTCTGAATTCAGTTCAGTAGTTACCTACACGTGCCCAAAAATGGGTTGAGTGCAAATATTTAACTGTCTATAATTGTCCAATTTTTGTTCAAGACCTGTGTCAAGAAGTCGCCGTCTTGAAGTGCTGTATGATTGATAAGGTCTAAATATTTCAAGGGAAAATCATACTCAGGTCCCACATAAAACAATTAATTCATAAAAAGTCCCTTGAAATCCCAAAATGATTTATAAGTCCTTGGGGACCTGTGTGTAATAAATTTTAATTGTGAAATTACCTATTTACCTCTATTAATTTGAATCCAATACAATTTATTTACAACTTCAACGGTGACTGTTGACAATTTGAGGAGAAGTGGTTAACAACCTCAGGAATGCTTTTGGTATCCTACAGAGTGAGTTGTTAAGGCACTGTCGAGGTTGTCAATCACTTCTTCTCGGGTGGTTGTACAACCACCGTTAAGATTGTAAATGAATTGCTACAATAAAATTAATGGGGGTAAATAAGTAATTTTACAATTATAATTTATTACATATAGGTTCCTGGGGACTTAGGAATCATTTTGGAATTTTTAGAGATTTTTTCTAAATTAATTATCTTACGTGGGACTTGGTATAATTTTCTCATATTTCAACGCGTTCGTTCTTTCATGTGCCTAGTCATGGTCTAGAGAGTCAGGCAGGGGTGTTAAAAAAATTAGCAATTTATTTTCCATATTATTTGATAAATCATTTTTACCCACTAAACTAGTAGTAACGCAGGCTCTACACTCTGGAGTAGCAAATTTGTTTTGGGAAGATTCCACATAAGAAACATGAAAATTACTCAGTTTCAATTAGAAATTTCTACAAAAATGCAGGTGTTGCTAAAACCTGTTAAAAGTGTAAGAGGTAACACTGATTTGATATTTTCTCATTTGTTTTCTTTAGTTCTTTCATCCTTTTTCCAGAAAATAAGATAACGTCAAAGAAACATCGATTCATGGGGAGTCAAAGAAACAACCAATGCATGGTGATCTTTATACTGCACAGTGGACAATAATGGGCTTTCAATTTTTCAATTTGACTTGAGGCTTCAATTGTCACCTGTTAAATCTACATGTAGTTTTAACTCAGCCTCCTTCGGTAAGGCAATAATTCGCTATATAGAAATTTAAAATCCAAGGCAGGAGCTCCCCAGAATCACTAACAGTTCCTTAACTGCAGTAGAAATTTAAAATTCATTTTCTGTGCGTGTGTCTATATACTTGTATAAGCATTAATTATTTCCTTTAAGAAAAATTCCTCAGAAAATGTACATCAATCAGGAGGGCAATGACGGCCTAATCATCAATCTCTTCGGAATACAACAAAATCTCTTGCCTCAACTTCTCCTATCATCATCCTTGCGACGCCACTCATTCTCCATCTCCTTTAAAATGTCCAAGACGCCAAGAATCCCCAAAAGGACCAACCCACCTGAAAACTTGCCACCACCTCCTCCCCCGTTACCTCCATTGCCATCATCTCTATACGGTGGCAGGCCAGGCCCGTTGTCGTCAAGTTGAGGTGTCTTTGCTTTACCTGAGATTTCATAACCATTATCTACTGTTGGAAAATATGACGTGTTCTAGCAGATGATGTTTTGCATAATGACACCGCACTAGATAAATATTCAAAACAGAGAAGGTTCATACAAGAGACGTGAACTAAACAACCATGGTGCTTTAAACTGGCCCTCATTTAGATGGTGATGCAGGCAAATGTATCAGATATGACACTAGTATATTTCAGTATATTTTACGTGGCTCTAAGGACAATGATACGATAAAACCACATCTATACTTTTCAACAAAGCAAGAATTGGAGGGTTAAAATTTCTCCTCTGACAGCTGTTGCTAATTAAATAAAAATTACCTTTCTGCCTACAATTATATCCCTTTTTACTGTTTACACTTAAAGGCCCGGGAAAGGGTCACACATGATCCAAAACAAACATTAGTTTGATATTTTCTCTTTCATAAAAGGCAACCATGTTGCATAAAAGGACTTTTAAATGTAGATAAGGATTTTATTTTTATCATTTTAATAAAAAGTACAATTTATATTAAAACTCCCATAAAAAAAAAATATTCCATTTACTTTTCCACATGTTTTACCACTCAACAACGTGGAGACTTCTATTTATTCTTCAGAACGGTTAGCGGCAACCAAACTTCCATATCTCATGAAGACACAAAGAAGCGCACGAGGAAAGGAAACCTTTAATTTAAAGAAGACAGAGAAACAAACCAATGAGAAAGAAAGAAAACGAGATCAACAGAGAAATAATGGCTACTTTGAAAATAAGAGGTTAAGATGCTGGAAAGTAAGGCAGGAAGAAATGCAAGCCTGAGTATGCCAATGGCGCCTTAACCCATCATGCAAGTGTTCTATCACCATTACCGCTTTTTTCTACCAGGAAAAACATCAAACATAGCTTGGAAGTAAACTGCAAATTCATATAATTAAAAGGCATTCCGTTACAAATGCCCCAATTCATCTCAGGCCAAAAACTAGATACGAGCTAATCATTAGAGTCAGCCACAATGTATATTCACCAAATTAATGCTGCTTGGTATAAGTTGATAAAATAATGACGTCATTACCAGGAGTAAGAGTAACTGTCTGAGATTCACGCGTCACAGTTTGGGTCAGCGCAGCTGCACATGTGGCATTCTAGATGAAGCATAAGAAAGGACATCAGAATATTGAAGACTACAAAATTGCCAGAAACGACTCACGGGCAGTAGGTATTCTTAAATGCTTATAGACAGCAGAAAATGCAATAAGCATCAAGATAAACTATCAACAATAACCTAAAATCAAGTAGGAAGAAAAACACAACTGACACTTTATACTTAAAATTCACAGAATCATCAATAGCAATATAAAATATAAAAACTGTAACAAACCACACTACTCATAAGCTGTGGATAGTGGTGTGACTCATTTCTCAGATTTTGTGCAATGCAAAAACCTACATTTAGTTTAATGTAAAAATTAATAGTATTACATCACTTGATGCAAAAACACCAACTATCAATATTTCTCCATGAAAGAATAATTAATTCACAATATAATTATATCATAACTTTCAATAGGTGACACTTTTGCATTCATTATAATGAAACACTTGAACTTTCTAATCAATAGTTGGCCAAGTAAAACATTCCGATCAATTGAGAGAAAAATCAACAAAAAGTACGATGAAGAGCAAATCATTAATAAAAAAGGGGCAGAACGTAGCTTACCAAAGCAGCATCACATCTGATATGACGTGACCGATTTTGAGATTTGCCAATTTGAAGTTTTCCTCTTCTTACATTACATGGTAAGGCTTGCATACCAACTAGGTTAGGTCCATTATTATAATCAGCTTCTTTTTGGTAGGGACCTCCTGTTCTAACTGCATAAAGATACAGAATAAAAATGAAAACATTTACTTAAGTCCTGCGAAGCTTGAGTCCATGGTATGGTATGGAAAATGAAGATGGTGGAGGATTTTTGGGTGTATTTTTCAATTGAATCAACATCAATATCGATACATCTATAAAAGTTGTATGGAGCTGATTGTTCATAAGTTGTCAATTCTGCGGCTCATCTGGGACTTCATGCAAATACACAAGGCCTACTCTACTTAGCTATCTAAGATTCATGTACCTGGTGGTAACAGAGGGGATGCAGCAGTATTAATTGTTGACATCAGCATTTTCATGATGATAAGATGCCAATTAGCTGTTAGATTAATAAGACAGAGAATAGATTATCAGTTGCAAACAAAAACCAGTTAACAAAGGTCTTTGTTACTAAAATGCACGCAGAAAATTGACAAGAACTTTCAACTATTATTCTTCAATTCAAATTTTCGTAAATCTAAGGAAGAGGTAGGAAGCTTATCAAGATTGACGGGTGTTTCCAGCCTTAATACTTTTGCAAGGATGTGATGCAGACAATTAAGGAAAAACAGTTTGAGAATTACAGGGCATAGTCTGCTTGTTGAACAATAATAAATTAGGACCAACCAAAGAATTACACACAGAAACTCAAACCGAGGTATTCTTTCTTTCTTTTTAATTTTTATTCTGACATTCGAGCAATTCAGGGGCTTCAGATGAAAATACTGCAATGGATGCAGACATCTTCCTAAAATTTAGGATCATGCAGAAATATCAAATGTTTTCTGGAAAGTGGGGGGCATCTTTGAGTAACAAAGGGATTTCCATATGTTATCACAATGCAAAAAACAATTCGAGAGCCACCGGTTCTGCTAAGAAAATGACGGAAACACCAAGATGACAAACAGAGACATAAAAAATCTGGTGCAGCGACCAGAAAATTTCAATTTATAACATACAATCAACCTTATTCAACAAAAAGAAAAAGTTTTCCATCTCTTCGCCCTCCCTTTCCCAGAAGTCAAAACACATAATTCCATCGCATTCGAATCATATCATATTACGAAGGAAAGAAAAACATAATACTTAAAGGCAACACGAACTGCATAAAAAGGAAAACATCGTCATTTTGTCAAACAAGATGAAAGAAGCACTAGACAATCATCAATAGAAAAAACACAGCAAGTCAAAATTTTATTTTCGATGTTTTTATCTTTAAACATAAAAATCTATCAACAAAAGAGAGTATAATGCAGTGCAACAAAAGGAAAGAACCTGCAAATAGTGATAATCGCCAATTGTGAGGAAGAAGATGATAAGTGACAATAACTCTAGAAATTAGCTCTGGAAAGAAATTTTTCGAAAAAAATTAACTTCTATGCAAACCTCTTCTCCTCTAAAGTCTACGCGGGGGAGGAGAATCGGAGGTCAGTTCAGTGGCTCATGCGGGGCCTTTGAAAGGTTTTCTTTTCTAATTGTAATTGGGTCCACCTAACAAATTGGATCTTCAATCTTCATGGCCCAAAAATCTTTTCTCCAGAAACGGCGGTGACGCTAGCTTGTGTTTCAAGTAAGGGCATGACTGTGCGCCCCCCCCCCCCAAAAAAAAGAAGGGTATGTTTTTTCTAATTAATATTATATATATAGCTCTTTTAATAGAATTAATTTTTTTAATATTTTCGGCATAGAATTGTCTTTTAAATACTTTTTTAATTGATGATCATTTCTCTCAGTTTAATTAGCCATCAACGAAATTGTGAATGATAAAATTCAAAGGAATAGTTAACCTCTCCTCAATTTCTATAACTAAATAATGACTATGAAGTGATCTCAGGAAACAAACATATTTTACATGTCATCACATTTGTAATTTTTTTATGTATACCGAATTGATTAATAATATTTTTTTAGTGGGATCGGGAATATTCTTTACTGGACAGCATGAAGAATAATATCTCTGGAGTATGATGGGAAAGGGGCAGACATTTTTTTTTTAAAAAAAAAAATTTCAAATATTTTTTTCAAATATGTAACACAAAAAAAGAATTGGTAAATTATAGTTTGCAATGAATGATTTTCAAAGATCAAATAATTTGTGTACTTTGCTTGATTTGAGACCAACTAATGATCATGGTCAAAATTAGACCTCTTAATAATGATCATGGTCAAAAAGAGGCCTCTTTAGTTGGTTGCTAATATGAATGATATTTGGAATATAAGGAGCATATTTAACTTTTGTTGGATTTTGAGTTTGGATTTGGTCAAGGAGTAGAGAATCTCCCTAGTTAAATATGTCTTAATTAAAGAAAGAATCAACCAATAAGGATTGGTTTAGCGGAAAGAATTAGTTTTTTATAATGTGGTGAACTAGATTTCAATCCCTATTAGGAGAGGTGCTTATATTTAGTACCCGACAACATCTTGAATAAGATTATCTTTAATAGGAGGATATTTGTTCTTCACTTCAACTATAGAGAATTTTGATTATCTCTCATTTTCTCTCATTCTTCATGCTGATGCATATGATGTGCCACTTTTATTTAGATTCTAGCAATCCGGATCTAATGTTGTACATATATTTCTCTATTTTTAGAGGATGTTCGGGTAAAAACCAAACTATGATTTTAAAATTACCTTTATAATATACGAAATAAATATATAAAAAGTTTATTTTATTTTACATAAAAATGCTTTTTAAAAGCATGTTTAGGACATTTTTTTAAAGTTTTCTTTCCACGTTATCATCAATAATAGGGAGTTGTGAAGTTCATTGTCCATTTTTAGTTTGGGTAATGGTTACGTCATTAATTTGGAGCATTGCAGCTGGCCCTAAGAACACCTTTTATTCGAACATTCTAAAAGGTTTGCTCAGCCAGACAAGGAAAATCATTTTTCTTCAAAACTAGTAAGAACTTGGATTTTTAGACCCAGAAGTCTAAACACATTGATGGATTTTTTCTCCCAAAAAAAAATCATTAGATTAGGTATGGATGTATGGTTAATAAGAATAATACTCTTCTGGCTCTAAATATAAAACCTATTTTATAATATAATTTATATTATAAAATAGATATTATATTTAAGACTGAAAAAGTAATACGAATTCAATAGTATTGACATAGCAGAACTTCAAGGTGTTAATAAAAGGTGAGTAGTTTCTTGTTCGCTTAACTGTGTAAAAGAGTTTTTGAGCTTGTCTTTCAAAAATTATGTTTTTATTATTTATAAGTTATTTTTAATAAGTTTACTAATTTTTCTACTTTATCTTTATTTAATATATTTATTTTTAAAAAAAAAAAAAAATAAAATAATAAATAAATGGTAAAATAATATTACATCTAATTTTTAATATAAAAACTAAATAACTAATTTATGAATAGTAAAAAAATTAGTTTAGTTATTTATAATAAATAAATATTATTTTTAATAAAACGTCTTTATTAGTCATGCACAGTAGAACTAATCTTAATAAAAACTTCTTAACATATACAAAGTTGGTCATGATTTTATATTTAAAACCAATTTAAATATTAATCTAATTTTTATATTAAGAATTGAGATATCATATTATATTAAAAATTTAATTGTGACCTATATATAAATAGAATCAGGAGAATAACTCAGGTCACAACTCTACTTTGCGTCGGAAAACAAAGAAGTGATTGATTTGATAGAAGCAATGATGTTAATCACTTCATTCCTTTCCGGTCAAAAAAAAAATAACCACTTTCATTCCTGGCTGCGCAGCTTTCCTTACAAGTCACGAGCCTCACTTCTTGCATGCCTTCCTCTTCAACAGGTGACTTCCCACGTCTTTTTTAAAATTTTTAATTTTTAATTTTCAAAAGCTTATGATACCTATCCTTGATTTTAAATAACTAATTTATGATAATAAATAATTAGTTAAAAATAATAAATAAGTTAAAAATATACCTTTGTTTTCAAATACATCATTGTGATAAATGAAAAAAATAATAAAAAAGATTGTGTAAGAAAATATAATAAGAAATATTATAGCAAATGAGAGAGAATAAGTAATTAAAAGCAAAATTGAAAAGATTGCATTAAATATTAAGAGAAACACTAAATTAAAGCTTATAAAACAAATCACACTTCTCTCTACTCGTGAAGCTTATAAATAGGACTATATAAACATTATTTTCTTTTTGTCTTTTTTTAACTTAAATTTTATTTCATAATTTTGGAGGATAAATTTGGAAACATATAATATTAAGGAAGTAGGCTGAATTCTCTTTAGTAAGTTAAAACCTTCCTAAATTGTGAGCAAAGAGCAATATGCATAGAAGACACATATCAATGCTAAAAGGTAATCACGTTTCTTTTTGCTATAAATATATATATATTCTCCTGTTTTAAATATAAGACACATTTTGTAGTGTAAATTATATTATAAAATGAATTCTATATTTAGAACATGAGGAGTATATCATTTTTTTTTTGTAAAGCCTGGTTTTTTAATAGTAATGAAATGAAATGTGTCTTTTTATTTTTCAGAAATAAAAAACGGCGTCGTGGAAGGGCAGACCAGAAACGATGTGTTAAAACTTAAGAGGACAGAGAATTAAGAGCAAACCTCAAAAGGGGACACCAGTCACCACTCCCATTTTGATATAGTCTTTCTTTGCGTCGGCAACACGTAAGCAAGGACGAACCGACGCCCAGTGGAACACTACGCGACGCAAAACAACTCAGCCCCCTTCTCAGACGCAGCCTTCTTCTCCGACTCCTTTAGAGACCATAACGCTCCCCTTTTTCTCTGATGATCCGCCTGTTCCTCCGGCGTACTTTAGCCTCTACCTCAACCTCTCGATGTGCAGATCCAAAAGCAGCACAAAAGTGATCGAACCCAGCAGACCCCGTCGATCTCGTACCTCCCAATCTTCTTCCTCTTCGCCTCGCACCACCGCCAATAATCTCCGTCCTAATTCTTCTTCCTTCAATCTCACCACAGAATCTACTAGCTACTATTACAAGGATTGGTCTAAAGCCTCCTCCGTTTCAAGTGGGTCCTCCCTTTCGAGCCTCAAGGACTCTTTGCCTGAGAACGCTCATATCTATCAGTTCTCTGAGATTTCCTCCGCCACCCGACATTTTAAGCTCGAAAAATACTCCTCGTCCTCTTCTTCTTCGTCTTGGCGATGCTCCATTCACAACAAGGATGTTCTGGTTTTCCAGCGCAAGTTTCGCCGTCCCATGGAATTGCCGGAGCTCCGAGATCGGCTTGCTGTGATTTGCCGGAGCCATCATAGTAGCTTGATTAAACTTCTCGGGGCATCGGTCTCCGGTAATTATATTTATCTTGTGTATGAGTATGTTCGTGGTGTGAATCTCGCTGATTGTCTTCGAAATCGTTTGAATCCCAGCTTCACTGATCTGTCGACGTGGCTTTCTCGGATGCAAATCGCGACTGATCTTGCCCACGGTCTTGATTACATTCACCATTTTTCCGGCCTGAACTCGAATTTCGTCCACAACCACATCAAGAGCTCGAGTATCGTCATCACGGAGGACACTCTGAATGCGAGGATTTGCCATTTTGGTACCTCGGAATTGTGCGGTGAAATCGTCACCGCCGACACACCGTCCAGTTCCAATTCTACGAAATTGAAGGAGCTGCAGAGGTCCGGTAGCCGGACAGTGAGGTTGGAAGGGACGAGAGGGTATATGGCGCCGGAGTATCTGGCAACGGGGGTTGCGACGCAGAAATCGGATGTGTACGCCTTTGGAGTCGTGGTTTTGGAGCTCCTCAGCGGGCAAGAGGCGTTGAAGTACGAATTCGACGACAACGGTGGATTCACAAGGGTGAGTGTGGTGGAGACGGCGAGGTTAGCTATGGCGGAAGAAGGTGGACCGAGGAAGTGGGTGGACAAGAGGCTGAAGGATTCGTTTCCAGTGGAAGTGGCGGCTGAGATGATTCGGGTCGGGTTGGATTGCCTGGATGAGGATCCAAACGAGAGGCCGGATATGGGTCGGGTCGCGCTTTCGGTGTCGAAGCTGTATTTGGATTCGAAGAAGTGGGCCGAGAATATGGGAACGGCTATTGACTTGACCGTCTCACTAGGGCCTCGGTGACGTTTCTGACTTTGCGACGCGGCGTTTTTCGTGTTAGAGTTTTCTTAATTTTTTTCAATTTTTTAATTGCTTAAAAAAATCACCACCTTTTTTTTTTCCCCCTTGAAACTGACGACACTGCATTCAAAGAGAGACGAAAGCTAAATGTTGTACATGACAGGAAAGAAATACGAAGGCTTGCAGAAATGAAAGAAAATGTTGTTTTGAAGTCCGAAATATTCGAAGTTATTGCTTATAAATGATGACTGTTGACTGATGAGAGAGCAAACACAGGTCAATCAAATATTAATTTGAGATAGTTAACATTAAAGTGTCAGCTGAAGGCCCTTATAAATACTAAGCTACTTGCCGGGAAAAAAAAAAAACAAGCTGCTTCATGAGCCACTGATTATGGCCTTGTTTGAACTAACGTTTAAAATCACTTATAGACATGTTTTATGTAAACTGAGATAAAATTTTTTTACATTCTTACCTCATATTTTGTAAATCATGATTAAAAAATTACTTATAAACAATTTTAAATAGGCTTTATAGATAGATTATAGGGGTATAGACCCCAAAAAAAACAGTTATGGGAAAATGGGTCATGCTTGGATTCTATAATGAGAGAATTGTGACAAGATATCAAAAAAGGAACATGTTCGAAAAAAGTCTTATAATAATAGTAATTTGTAATGATAAGTTAAAGCAGGAAATAATAATAGGTTCTCACTTATTATTGAGACTTAATAATTATCCTGAGAATTCACAACAATTCTCACTCAAAAAATCCTGCTTGAATGAGCATCCTGACAAGAATTCCTTTAGGTTTTGTACAGTTTCAAACTTGACGTAGGAAAAAATTATGGTAGCTTCATCCTTAAAGTCTGGCCTCACGTTTTGTTTTAATCAAACGACCAGAATCCAGTAGTCATATTAGATTTTGACTAATTTGGTTTGAGTTTTGAAGAACCAGAAGAGCCGTAAAGCTCTCCTAATAAGTACTACTTCTGGTCTTTAATATAAGAGTTTGTTTGACTTTTATTTTGGTCCTAAATATAAGACCCCAATCAATTTTGTCATCATATTTATTCATTTTTTTTCTAAGGTAGTCCTTATAATGATGATAATTCTAATCAATACACTTGATTAGTAAAGATATTTTAAGAAAAACAACATATATTTATTATAAATAACTAATTTAACTTCTTTTCTTAATCTCCTCAAATTAGTCAACTAGCTTTTATATTTAGGACTGGAGGTAGTATTTGACTAATTTGTACATTCAAGACTCAAATTTGGGACCATTAATTAAGTTCGTACAACTTCTTTCGTGGCCTCATTTCTTTTGGAAAGTGATCATACTAAAAAATGCTAGAACTCGACTAATTATGCCTATGCAAATGAGGATTAATACGCACAAATTCCAATCATGAAGATTATAGCCACTTTCCTTAAGTGATCCACATCGAGTTATGAGCCATACTCCATGATACCTGAAACATGTAGAAATAAATGGTAATATCGATCTGCATTATATTATCCGTAAGGATAGAATATTGACTTAGTTGCAATCCTTTTAAAAGTTGTATTAGTTGAGTCTTGAATAAAAACTATAGAAAAGTACGTGCATTATAACTACTCTAAGTTGGCGACTAAATTTGAAATATGACAAGCTTATATTGCTGCTGAAACAAGGAACTAAACCAACCAATTCTAATGGAGAAATGTATACTTTAGATTTCAGCAGCCAAATACGTCAGTGGATTTGGATTCTCTAAAGTTGAGCTTTTTGAAATTGAAGTTTAACGTAAAGTACTAATACTTTACTCGACAAGATTTATATGATACTTTGTGTTCTTATTTCAAAGTATCCAGACTTCACGTTAATCAGGTCTTTCTTCATGCATCTTACAAGAAGAGGTGCAATTCCGAGAATCATCTCTGAAAGAAAAATACCTCTCAGCATTTGCAATCACAAATGCTTGCAGAGCCCACTTAGGATAGCAGACATTAGCTATACCCTTCAGAAAGTCATTATCTCTTTGTTTTGTTGCAATGAGAGTCAAAACAACTGGAAGAAGTACTGACCACTGCAAGATGGGGTTACATGTCAGAGGGAAAAATCAAAATAACATGATAAGACAAATTTTACTTGGGGAATTGATTATCTCTGTCAAGAATTTGTTATGCTAACCTGGTTTCTAAAATTTGATAGACAGACATGCAAGTACATCATTACATTCTTTATTTCCTTTTCTTTTTCTGAGAAGAATATATCATTATATTCTTCATGGGGCTTATGTCTGATATATTTACTATGACTGATGTATTTAAGAAAATTTCAACTATGGACTGCTTCTGATACTTACAAGCTGGGCGGCACCAGGTTCAAAGAACATGGCCAATGCATAAGCTATGCCAGTCACACAGTATACAAGACAGAGAAGCACAATGTAGTTATCTGCAAAAGAAGATCTTGGATTGGTGAGAAAATAGAACATGGAGAGGTACACCAGAGGCTTGACCACTGTATTAAAGTGATCAACTGTGTCCTTTGACAGAAAATAAGCCAAGCTGCTCATGCCGGAATCCCTCTCCCTCCAGTATTGTATTTTATCCAGAGAAAAGGATCTCAAGGCTGCTATTTTGCATAGAAGAGCTGAAATTAAAAACAACAACAACAAATTACATGACATGAACATTGAGTAGATTAGTGTAGCATTATAGTAATGTATCGGTCCACTGACTCCAACCGACTATAATATGATTAAGGGGTTTTTTTTTTTTTTAAAAAGAACATGGTTAGGGGGTCATATTTATTGGCATATAAGCTCATTGATGTGGCTGCTAGGGTTCAGAAGCCAAAATTACTTGTACAATTCAATTCTATATATTCATCAAACTGGAGATCAATTTTATGATTTATATGATTTACTATTTATATTTGATATTATAGCTATCTATTCAATTTTCAAAACAGATAAATATAATTATACAAGCTTAAAAAATGGATTGTCTTTGTTGTTTTTTTTTTTCTATTTTCAGTAATTTAGCGTGTTTAAATTCAATTTAAATGAAATAAAAATGTTCTTCTATTGCTTTCAATAGCAAATTAATTATGTTTTCATTTTTAATTTGGAAAAAGTAAAAATAAAATGAAAAATTTCGAATAGAAATTAAGAGAAAAAAATAGAGAAAGAAATTAAAAGACTGTTCCTATATTTTTCCTTCTTTCAAATAGAAAATCAAATGAAAAATATAAGTGATGAGCACCAAACAATCCAGTCCTCTGAAAAAATCAAGCTGATTCAATAGAAACGTTTATTAATTTTTATTATTTATATATTTAAATTTTCAGGTAGTCCCATATGTGAGTACTTTTCAAATAACACCCCAAAGCTAATGCCTATTAAGCTGAATATAATTGAAAAATAATTTTTAATTCATTAATCATAACCGAGAAGTTTAATCTTAAACACTATTCATGTTACGATTGTCTTGAAGAAAATAATCATAAACAACTCATGATGTTAGAAATTTTGTACTTCTAGCCTTAATTTTATTAAAGGTGTAGATATCTAATATACATCTGTAAATATCGAAGTCTGCTAGTATATTTTTTCCCCATAGTAACATCTGCTGCATGGTGAAAATGTTAATATCCAGCACATGATACAACCTATACTTGCTAAAAGAAATAGTAGAAGGACACTTGACAAACTTACAGACAGCAATGACCGTGTATGTGTACCCAACTGCACCAAACGTTTGTTCACTCGATTTTGTAAGCAATCCTAAGCAAGCTCCGGCAAGTAACAAGATCAGGTAATCTATAGCCTGAATCCTAGCTTCCCGTAGTCTCTGCTTACCAACCCTGAAACAGTATTGTGGCTGTGATATGCAGTTTACTGGCAACTAACAAAAGAAAATATAGTTTGGCCAAAAATTAGTGAAGAGACGTACATGCAAGCTTACACAGGTTTAAAATTATGCTATATTATACATAATTCTCGTGAAGACTTATTAGACGTAAATGCTCTCCAGCATTGCGATCATTTAATGAGGAGAGAGATAAATATGATGGCAGGTCTACAAATAATCTTGCAGCATATGATCGGAAAGTCAAAGCAAGAAATAGAACCGTCATCAACAATCCTTTGACCCTTCCCATGCCAAATTTTCCCAGAACAGGAAAAGAATAAATAATTCAACAAGGCAATTGTAATGGCTCTGATGAAAATTAACACATCAAAGGAAATTCAATAAATCAGCTGGAAAATGCAACTTCCGAGTAAAAAAAGAGGGGGGTAAAGCTGGGTTCATTGGATGATTTACCTTATTAGGAAGTACTTATATTGCATAAACACTCCAGGAGTTTTCCTGTTGGATAAATCCTTGGATTTGGAATAATTAAGTCTAATCTTCTCGCCCTGCAGTTCCACATTGTGTTTAACATCTTGCCATAATTCTCCAGCAAACGTTTGTTGATGGCCAGAACCATGAGGATCCATTTCAGTAGCTGTGTTTACACTTTGAGGTGATACATCAATTTTAGATACACCCTGCTGCATATCAAAAGGCACTGGGTAGTTATTATAAAGCATCCATTTAATTGGAAGCTCTCTATAGCTCACACCTGAGCTTCCACCAGGTACTGACATACCCTCCAGAATGTCAATAAAGTAGTCTGGAGGGTTGATCCTTTCTGGGATATTGATCCCAAAACCCGCGAAGTACTCTTCAATCTTCTTGACTGATCCATGATAGACAGTAAGACCACCTTTTGCCAGAAGAATTAAATCATCAAACATCTTGAACAAGGCATAGCTGAAGCATAAAGTCAAACCATCAATTAATCAAAAGGAAAGCAGTTCCATTGCCAAATGATGATAACAACCAAAATAGAAATAACAGAGATGACGACGACAATGATCATAAAGGGAAATTAATTAGCCCTATTGATGTTATATCCAAATTAAAGCATGGACAATAAAATTTATGCTCACATTGAATCTCGTATGTAATGCTCATTCAGAAATTCAGCAAGGACCATCTAAGCAGTTATGGCAACCTAATATAGTGCACATTGGTTAGGCATCGAATAAAACCCAGCAACGAATGCCATGGCACAAGTGGACCAAGAAAACCTAAACTTGCAGAAACAGCAAAGATTTCTAAGTTTATAATAAACAGTATATTAATCTAGTTTTCATATAGACAAGATTAAGGCAAAGTTCCAATAAAATATAACGAGCGAATAGTTTTTTGTAACTCTAAATTGAATTGCTGACTAAGAACTATGCCTAAGTAATTTCTTACAAGCCCCAGTTGTATATGGTCACACTTTTGATGAACATGTGTCAACCAACTAATAATTAATATAAATATCACTGGCACAGAAGGCAAGCCATTTTACTAGTGGTGCGATCTTGGAATTAAAGGTTACCTGGGTTGGTGCACGACCATGCAAATGTTCACTCCCTCGAGAGATTCACGTCTAAGTGCTCTAAGAAGGAGTTGAGACGATGCACTGTCCAAACCGGATGTGGGTTCATCCAAGATCAAAAGTGAAGGTTCCATGACCATCTCCAACCCAACATTTACACGTTTCCTTTGGCCTCCTGAGATTCCTCGCTTTTCAACAGTCCCAACCAAGGAATTTCGCACTGACTGAAGTCCCAGGAATTCAATAACTCTCTCGACAACTAGAACTTTATCCGGTCTAGACAAGTCAGAGGATAGCCTAAAACAGTAATGAGATTTTGTTGAAAAGATATAAAACATAAACAATCTAACATATATAATAATTTACACAGAAATACTAGCACATTACATCAGGACGAGCAAGGCATAGGCACAGAAAGCAAATTGTTGAAGCTAACAGTTTAATCCAGGTTTAAGAAGATAAACTACAATGGAAAATAAGTGCGGCCCAAAAGTAACTGCGTAATTTTTCTTGACGACCCTAAATAAAATGTAAAAAGCACTGCAGTTAGATTGTTTAACAATGTGCCATACTGCCACACCTGCACTGTGCACTGAACCAAAGGTTCTCCTCCACTGTAAGGTTTCCGTGAACTACATCATCTTGTGGCACAAAGCCAATAATTTTCTTGTAGGAGTGGATGGATTCATTCTTTCCATTTATGAGAATAGAACCAGTTGCTGTGCAACCATGTGCTTTCCCGGCTAGAGCTGAAAGAAATGTTGTCTTACCTGCACCTGAAGGACCCATGACAGCAGTAATGCGTCCAGGTTTTATTTTACCTGTAACGCATCTCAATATATGCTTTCTTTGTGATTTCAAAGTGAGAGTCAGATCTTTGAAAGAAATCTCGATTAATGGCCTTTTTCTCGGTTCACTGTTGATAGCCATTCTAATGACCCCTGAGAAGGTAAGATTCTTGTTTTCTTGTTGCTGCGCCTTCTCCTTTTCAAGTTGAGCATATGCATACTTAAAAATCTGGGCATGAGTATTCAATTGTTTCACCTTGGGCATTTTCCGCTTGAAACTTCTTTCTTTACTTTCGACACTGAAGTTTTCATCAATGTCTGGGTCATTTTCTATCTCATGCACCATCTGCATCAGGTCGCTGGGTTCTTTTCTCATTTCATTTGGCACTGCAGATGAAGGAACATCCAAGCATGAAGTGATAGAAAGAGCTGGCAATAATTCAACGTCTGTTTCCGAAGTTTCCTGATCCAAAATTTGAAGTTTTCCTGAATGTGATGCTTCCTTTTTATTACGAGAAAATGTGCGTGACAGTTGGGCTTGCAGCTCGCTTGCACGCTTCTTAGCAGCATCTTTTGCAGAATGCCATCTTTGGCGTGCATTTGCAGTGTTCCTTGCACTTCTAGCAGCTGCTTCTCTGGATTCAGCCACTCGCCTTTCCTTTGTTGTGAGAACTTGGTCAGAAAAGTTGTAAATAATGAGTAGCAATGTACTCAAAGCGGCCTGCATAGGCAGTGTGGGAGAGTGTCAATTTCTACCAACTTTGTCTATCTGTGTGTATGTCTGTCTATAAATCTGTGCGTAAGATGTCTTTTGCAAGGTTTTAAGCTCATCATTGAAATATGCCGCATTGCAATTTTGGATGTAAATTCAGTGGAAAAGATGCAAAAAGAATTGGAAACTTGTCCGGGCTTATATATAGCACCGCGGCTTAGACATTAGTTCTCCTGTAAGTAATCAATGGCTAATGAAAAGAAACGGTTGATTGTCCAGACGAAAGTTCAGTAATTCTGATTCAAAACTAACTACTTACAATGAGCATAATTCCATATGCATGCAGGTTTTGCGTTGCTGTTTTTGAATTACATGAACTCAACTTGAAGCATTCTGCAAGATAATCAGCGAATGGTCATATGTATAATCCACATGTATATGGTGAGGAAATTTTTGATTAAACAATCTGGGGCTTAAATATAAATTTTTTGCACCAAAAATTCACAGTTCTTATGAAACCTTACTTTTCTCAGATGTCGAACCCATCCTACAATAATGTCTGAAATACGGAAACATGAATAAAAAAAATCAGAATCATGGACACAGGCAGTATTGATAAATTTTATTAATATTATTACAAATCGACATAAAGGGCCTCTTCACCCATCTGCCAAGATCCTCACTTTTTCGAGAATCCTGTTACAGCCCGTTCTAAAAAAGAACCAGGTTTTGAGACAAAATAATACCCACTACCGCAAGGAACTTTTTTGGTGGTTGTTGGGCAGTATGATCCAGCAGAACAAAATATGCTCATACTGCTACTAAAATCGGCCCAAACATTTGCTCCTCCGCATGTATGGTTCGGCTGATTTGGAGGCAACTGGTAAAGATATCTGCAGTAAAAAATAGATTAATATCAAACAGAGAGTACAATATACCTCTGGATGAAAACAAAACTTGAGACCAACATTAGAACTCACGGTTCACATACACCAGTTGTTTCATTGAGTCTCGCAAGAGGGCAATGGGAACCTAGCGGGCAAGCTTCCAGAATAATGTTTTATATGCATATGTCACAAAGAAACATTTGAAGTATTAGAGAAGGCTTCAAGTATATATGTCTCAGTTCTTATTATTCTTGCATGTTATATCATTTGGTTTAAATGTTCAGAAATATTGTTGGGAGGACTCTGTCACATCATCCATAATAGAGTGGGTTAATGTTCATGCTTAGGAATTAATCGACGTGGTATATACGTTCAGTTTAACTATATACAAGAAGTGAGATAAACGGGTGCTTTTCTAACAACACTTACTCTGGCCCGGAAACTACAAACGAGTAGACAATTTTCATCCCATAGACCAGTGTAAAGTAGTAAAAGTTCCAAAATATATCAATCTCCCAGCACATTTCTAAATGCCGCAAAACTCTATTCAGAAATTAGAACATTAAAAACATTAGTATATTACCCAGCTTGAGGATGCAGAAATGTCCAATTAGATGTTAATGTTATACTGTCATGCAGAAGCGTTTTCCAGTCATCAGTAACGAGGATAGATTAAATATTCTCTTACACTTACGTATCATGCAAGTGAGGCCTTGAGGACAAAAGAAGCCCTCACAACAGGCTTGACAATTTGTAGTTCTTGCGGGCATCTCCTTTGAATTCTGAAGGTCAACATTCTGTTGTGGGCCAACACTACAGGCCCATCCTGGCTCGCAGCCAGAGACCCATGAGGTTAAATTGCAGTTCTGGTTAGGCTTTAGGAAATCGGCGCTTCTTGAACTTTCAAAGAAACCATTAAAGTAAAACCTCATCTCTGCTGCAGTACACAAGCGTTTTGTGATATCACCTGCAAACCATCAGATTAAAAGTGAAATGGATTTCCGTGTAAAAAAACAGAAATCCAGAGCATTAATGTTACTCAGTTCTTTCTATTTAAAGTTAGTAAGAAACAATAACGGCTTTATCTTGGTTCTTACTTTTGTTGAACGGAATGGAAGATAAAGTGGACAATAGTATTGTGAATAGAAGAATAACAATTGCAGTAGTGAAAGATGATCTCATGTAACCATATATATTCATGAAGTGCAATTTTCCAAAAGAAATCAATACTTTATCTCTTAGACTAGCAACTGATGATCCAATGTATCCCAGAGCTTCCATCCAAGCATGTAGTGACATTCTGAAGCTTACCTTTGGTTTTTCGAATGCAAGAACTCAGGAAGTCCAAATTTGAAGAGAAGTTAAATGCTTGGTTCCACTCAGTCTCCCTGAGATAAGAAAATTGGGTTTCACGGTCAAATCCATATATACAGAATTATAGGAAAAAAATACCTTAACAAAAAGTTTTTTTTTTCTTTTTTTTATTTCAGTTGGCACATGGACACAACGGAACGACAATGCCGGACTCAGAGAATTTAATCCTCTCATATCTTGCATATTGAAATCAAGTGCTTTCTTATTATTCTTCTTCTTTTCCATTTTTGTTTTTAATATCAATTATATTCTTGAAAACTTGTAATATCCCATTCGTTTAAAAAACGGGTTGAGTATGACATTATAAGATTCAAATATATGAAATTAATGAGATTTGAATAATATTTTTATTGGAATTTGGGTGTGTTGAATTAGACGAGAGACAACATTATTAAATGGGATTTTAATTGGAGGTTCAAATAAAAAAGCTAATAATTAATTTTGAATTTGAATAATATCATAATTGGGATTTGAATATATTGAATTAAATGGAAAGTATCATAATTAAATAGTATGTCAATTGAGGGCCTAAATTGAGAAATAAATAAATAATTTTAAATTTTCATATGTTCTCTCTAAATTCTGCACATCTAATTCAAATCTCATTTAAAGGACAAAAAAAATCATATTCCTATAAGAAGTGAACATTGGTTAGAATTTAAAATCTAATCAAATATTCTAGTCCGTGCATCGTACGGGGAAGAAATTTCTAGTTTCACTTAAAATTGAAAAGAAGTCATCGATGCAACAAAAAAAGGGAAAAAAAGAAATTAATATATTCAGAGTAAATCGTGTTCATTGAATATTAATGTACTTAATGCACACGTACACAGGAATTTTTCCAGACCGACCTATACATATAAAAGGATCTATGTTAATGCTAATAATTATCTATAAAACACCTGACGCTCATTAAAAAAATATTTTTTGATGTTTCATAGTTCTTTTTTTTTTTTTCCAAAAAATGAGTGAGACTCGGTAATAAAATGTAAATCATAAATATTTTGGGACAAGCTCACTGATTCATGTGATAAAGGTCTATAGAAAATGAGACAAATATACAACTAACGTTGTGTTTGGTTCAATGGAGAGAAGGAGAGGGGAGTGATTTTAATCAAGGGAAGAGGAGGAGAGGAAAGGAGATGGTAGCTACAAAGAAGAGGGGAGGGAGGGGGGAGGGAGGGAAGAGATTTTAATAATCTCCTGTTTGGATTGATTGGAGGGGAGGGAAGGGGAGGAAACAATTTTAATAATACCTTATTTTGTTCTAATAAAAAATTGACTATTTAACCTCATAAAATTTAAATAAATTTTCTCACTTTTTTATTTTATCAAGATATAACTATATATATAATGCAATTCACTAATTTTGACTTACAAGACATAATCACACACTTATAGAATATCAAGATAAAAAGTTGTGAATGATAGATTTCAATCAGAGAAAAGACCTCGAAGGTTAAAGAAAATACCGACGGCCTTTTGGAATTAAAAAAAGAGAAAAAAAAAATGTTCAACAATGCTCACTAATTTTGGAGACAACTATCTCGACAACCTCTTGCTAAATGTTTAAAAGAACTCTCTTATGTAGAAATGTTTATGACTGATTAGGGGTTAACAAATCAAAAGGATATATGAGGAATTAAAATATTTTAGTTAGGCTAATTTTGAAACTTAAAATTTTATCTCTCATATCTTCTCTAAAAAACCTCACTTTTGGAGAGGAGGCTAGAAGAGAAGAGGAGGGGAGAAGAGCCCTTCCCCTCTTTAAAAAATATCTTAACCAAACAAGGGGGAAAACAACTCTCCTCCCTTCTTAAAAAATTGCACCAGCCAAACAAGAGGAGGGGAGCAACTTCCCTTCCCTCCCCTCCTAAAACCCCGCACCAAACACAACGTTTTGGTTTCATTACATAATTAAAAGAAGTTTCAGAAAGCGGTGCATTAAAATTTCTTCTGATGATAAGGAGGCAGAACGGCTAGGCAGACACCGTGGCGACCAAATTAACAAATAGGTGTTGATCGAGGAAAAACGAAAGACACTTACGGATCTTTGACGCAGAAACTAGCACGATGGCCGATTTCATGACTGAGAAGGGAAGTGAGATTGGAAATTCGAGAGTACACAAGCTGCGTCACGAGGGGAAGAACTGCAGGATTGTGGATTTGATCGTAGTCATCGACGGCGACGTCTTGGCAATCTATCACATTGAAGAAGCTCAAGGGCGACGCAATGCCGAACCAAATGAATATTGCCAACAATTTCTTCGAGCTCGTTCTAGGTTCGCACATGACGATACTGAAATGGAGAATATATGAGCAGAGAGTGTGAAATGGAATGCAGGAGAAATGGAGAGCTAGCTAATGCGAAGCTAGAGTGAAGGAAATGAGATGGGGAAGAAGAAGAAGATGATGAAATTCTATTTGGAGAGGAAGGAGGAAGAGAAGAGGTAGTGGTGGGACCCACGAGGGAGGAGGCCAGCACGTTCGAACGAGTAACCATTAATCCCGCCATGCAGCCATCTAACTTCACACAGCGCCTGCTTTCAGTCTACGCCTTTTTTTTTTTTTTGATCTGATTCAGTCTACGCCTTTGCATGCACTACATGATCATTTTTTAAAATTTTTTTATTTAAATAAATTAATCATGAAACAGATTATATTTTTATAATTATTAAACATTTAAACTAGGTAGACTCGCAAGAATGTGCATAGCCTAACAAATGAGTGACACGTGAATTTGTTATAAGTTTTATACTTTATGGTGATATTAATACGTTGACATTGATGTATACCAATTATATTAATGATCTAATTAAAATAGGCTAAATACATGGTTCTTTATAACTGTATAACAACATGGTGCATTTTTAATTGAATGTTCCAACGTGTTAATTGCTTTGGTGGTTGATTTAACAAAAAAAAATAGTGTTACTTTCTGGTTCTTAGTATAAGAATTGGTTAGGAGATGAATTCTCTCATAAATATAAGAGCTTAATTTATTTTATTTTTTATACTTGTTTGTAAAATTAATTTATCTAACTTATAAAATAATATATACTTTAATGCTATATAGGGTATTTTAGAAAGGTCATATCACATTTATGTTATAACTAACCAAGTTATTTGGTTTCCTTAATCTATTATATTTAGAAACATAAGAAGTAATTGTTTAGTTATAAAATTACTCTTCTGTCAAACAATATGCATCTTGTATTTTCAAAGAAAAACGGAAGTAAATTCCATTGTCCTTCTAGCAGTTACCAGAAAAACGTATAATATTTATCCGAATATTCCTAAAATTGCAAACATCTAAATGATTTTTTAAAATATGTAATTAATTACTCATTAAGAATTAATTTTAGAATATTATTGTACCATGATATTTTCATTATGATTACTCTGCCATAAAAACTCATTTCAGCTTTTATTTTTCAGACATGCTAGCCTCACATCCGGTAGGAGTTTAGGGATCGTGGATAGTCTAGAGAAAGGATTTCCGCAAATTGAGATTCTTTTTTTAGAAAAAAGAAATATTTTCCCCTTAAAAATGATTTTTAAGAAAAAAAGCAAAGAGCAGAACTCTGGACATCTCTGCCATAATTCAGAGAATTTCCACTTTTCACATGTAGAAGGGGCAATAATTTGCTCATCAATTTATGATCAAAGATGTATTTAAATTTTACACTGACACTACAAGATGGACTAAAGTTATTAATCAAGTCGATCATGCATTTTTTTTAATAAACAAAAGATTCTAAATTCTTATATGATCAATATTTTCAACCTTATTTCAACTATTTCAAGACTTAATTTTATATCAATATAACACAATTCATTTTAAAATTTATCATATCCTTAAATTTATCAACTCCAAACGACCAAACTAAAGAGACGTAAAATACCCTGCTTTCCCCCCCAAAAAAAAAAAAAGATTGAACTTTAAGCTTTGGCGTATACTTGCATTCAATAGTATGAAGTGTTCATAGCAGTGGTATCATCAAAATTTTGTAGGAACAATATATACGTACAAAAAAAAAATTTCCCTACGTATACACAACTAGATACAGATGAACTATGCCTAAATCATTGAACTTTGCTTCCTTCTTTTTTTTCTTTTTCCCGCGAACGAACTTTACTTCCTTCTAAAGGTTAACATACAGATGAATGCAATCGCACGACTCACTACTCCAAAGAGGATAAGTATTGAGATGCACAAACTCCAATCTGAAAGATTGTAATCATTTGTCTTAAGGGCACCACAACGAGTTATGAGCCACACTTTATCATACCTGCAACAACGTAACAGTAAAGATCAGATCAGTTTACAAACCGTTATAAGTTAACAAATGTTCAATTGTTCATGACCTATGAATAGTGAGTCTTGCTATATATTCTTCTGATCCTTAATATAAGACCTATTTAATTAATTTGATTACATTAAGGAAGTTAGGTAAGTTAGTTAATTATAAGAAATATGACATGCTTTTCCTAAAATATCATAATCATCTTCCTTAATATCCTTTCTTCCTTTTTTACTTGATTATGATTAAAGGAGTATCCATAGGGGTAATTCATAAAAAATTGATAAATATGAGAAATAGGTCTCATATTTAAGACCAAAATCAACTCAATAATTAGGTTCTATATTAAAGATCGAAGGAGTACTATCTTATGTTGATTCATTAAGCATCACTCTTTTCTTTTTTGAAATAGAAGAGCAGGCACTAACAGCCTGAGGTTACAAGCAAGATTAAACCTGTAACCTCACACTTACAGAACTTTCATGCCACTAGGTTCCCAAGCCACTGGCTTTATTGATCATCACTGATTAGTGCTACTGGTTAGCTGTGCAAGTTGTTCTAAAACATTGGCTTATAATACTTTATGCAATTGTTAATTCAATTAGGTTGCACGCAGAACTGCTAGATAGCTTGATTCAGTTTTCTATCAATTGTTGTTAATTCAATCATAATTATAAAATACTGATGAATGCTTTATTCTTGGTATTACAATCATAGGCGTCCTTTGATTTGAAATCAAACTAAGTACTAAATTCTACTCTTTAAGGGCATGTTTGGATGTGGGGTGATGGGCAGGAAAGGATAGGTGTCCGTTTTCTGTGGTAAAAACGTAGGTTCTGGTGTCGAAAACAGACATCCAAACACACGCTAAAAGGTGCAGCTTTTGCATTACTTGAATGGTAATTTATGCATACCTTTCAGCATTAGCGATTACAAATGCCTGCAGAGCCCATTTGGTGTAGCACACGTCAGATATGCGTTTCATAAATTCACTGTCTCTCGGTTGCGTGGCGACTAGAGTCAAAACAACTGGGAGAAGCACTGACCACTGCAAATAAGAGATGTCAGATAGAAATATATAGAAAAAAAGTGATGATGGAAACAAAATAATGACATTTTCTGGACTGATTTCGTTACAGATATTAATAAAACTGACTTTTATTGGGTAACTTAAAGCTTAATATGAGAAAACTATTCATGAGCCTTCATTTAATGATTTAAGATTTTGATTTGAAGTGGCTCCTTGACGAAACTTACCAATTGAGCAGCTCCAGGTTCAAAGACAATGGCCAGTGCATACCCCATGCCAGTCACACAGTACACAAGGCAGAGGAGCACAGTGTAATTATCAACAAAAGTAGACCTCGGGTTAGTGAAGAAAAAGAACATAGATAGATACACGGCGGGCTTGATCACTGTATTAAAATGGTCAATTGTGTCCCTAGAGAGAAAATAAGCTAGGCTGCTCATGCCTGAAGCACTCTCCCTCCAGTATTGTAATTTCTCCAGAGAAAATGATCTCAAAGCTGCTATTTTGCAGAGAAGAGCTGAAAGCAACAAATGTAACAATGTGAGGAACAAAAGTTTATAATATGGAATTAGCAGGGGTTTAGGGTTTTAAGAACCAATCGTAAATCCTTAATTTCTATGAACCACATTCCACAGAAAAAGTCAACGCAGCCTATATATCAGCGAAATGATATAAAAGAAAAAAATAGTGGATAGCATATCCATTATACTTACAAACAGCAATCACTGTGTATGTGTATCCTGCTGCACCAAGCGATTGATCCCTCATTTTGATAACTGATCCTAGGCAGGCTCCAGCAAGTAATAAAATCAGATAGTCTATGGCTTGCGCTTTGGCATCCCTAAGTCGCTGCTTAGCAACTCTGTAATAGGAAGCGCAGGGAGAAGATAAAATTATTCACAAGAACAGCAATGTTTGCAGAAAGGGTATATTATGAATATGTCAACATATCACAGGTCGACACGAACCCCACCATGAAATACTTCCAACACATAACATGCATATAAATTAGTCTAGAAAAATTATTTTCTTCAGCAACCAACTTGAAGAATCCGAATAATATACTTCAACTTCTTATAAATAGTATGATGCTTAGAATCTAGAGTGATGTCAGCTGTGTTTTTCTTTGAAGTAAGGCATTTTTTGAAAAATTAGGATTTGAATGTAAATTGTCAACACATGTAAGATTTAAGTAATGCTTTAGAAACAAGATATACATTGACGTTTTTACCTAGCAAGGAAGTACTTATATTGCCAGAACAGACTAGCAGTTCTCCGATTTGATAAATCCTTGGACTTTAAAAAGTTTAGCCTTAACTTCTCTTGATGCATCTCTATGTTACCTTTGACATCTTTCCATAACTCTCCAGTGAAGGATGGTTCCTCATTAACAGCATCATCATTATTTGTTTCATTAATTGGATTTAGAAGCCTGGATGGCATGTTACTTTTTTGCATATCAGGAGGCACTGAGTAACCATTATGAAGCATCCATCTAACTGCGAGCTCATCATACTTCACTCCTGAGCGTCCACTAGGTTTTATCACTCCCTCCAAAATGTCAATAAAGTAGTCCGGAGGGTTAATGCGCTCAGGGATAAAGATCCCAAGGCCTGCAAAGTATTCTTCAACCCTATTAACAGGTCCATGGTAGACAGTAAGACCGCCTTTTGCCAGGAGTACCAGATCATCAAACATCTTGAATAATGTATGGCTGAAGCAGAAAGCTTAACCGTTAGTAAATGGGTTTAGAATTAAAAATTACTAGTATATTGCAATCAAATTATACCATTCAATCAAATATGAATGTTCATAATGACATAGGCAAATGTCTCAAAGCTACTCCAATATAATGCATATGGGTTAATAATTGGTGACAAAATCCCACCCCCTAACTAAAAAAGGGGGGAGGATAATGCATTAGAATTTCTGAACATTCCAAAGTAAGAGTTCCCTTCTGAATGCGTGGCTTCATCCATATAGCTGACATGAATAATACTCATGTAAAGTATCAAGATGACACATGGTTAGCTCTATCAGAAAAATCTTAACAGCCCACTAATTTTCAGGATAGGGATCAGACTAAAATTATAAAAATTACGAGGGCTTACAGACATTTAATCTGTGGGAACCGAATTCAAAATTGAACAAAACTTTGAGTACTAGTAGGTTAATTCAACCAAAAAAATTAATTTCATTTAATGCAGACAGCAGACCTGCTTAATGAAATTTAGGTAATATAACAAATCAAAATAATGCATTAGCAATTCTGTATATTGCAAAGAGTTCCCTTCTAACCAAACAGGATTTCCAAAACATTGTGATATCAGAGATTAACAAAACAAGACAGAAGAACAATTTTCACATTATGCAGAGTTGTAGGCACAAAAGTTACCTAGGTTGATGAACTACCATGCAGACATTCACCCCTTCAAGAGCTTCACGTCGAAGTGCTCTAAGAAGTAACTGAGATGATGCACTATCCAAGCCTGATGTGGGTTCATCCAGGATTAGTAATGAGGGTTCCATAACCATTTCCAATCCAACATTCACTCGCTTCCTTTGGCCTCCAGATATCCCTCGCTTTTCTACTGTTCCAACGAGGGAATTTCGCACAGAGTGAAGTCCCAAGAATTCAATAACTCTTTCAACAACCACTACTTTATCCGCTTTTGAAGATTCAGCAGAGAGCCTTTTTTATTATTGAGATAAAGAAAAAGAAACATTTAGCCAAAGAAATGGACCGACAATATTAATCTTTAAGATTGGTAATTAAATCAGTGACCTGAAGTACACATGATTTAGGGCGGTCTGTGTTTATTAAAGGTACGCACATAAAAGTTATGGTATTAATGATTAATGTCCTGTATTTTTCCCCCCCCCAAATTTTGTCAGTTTTGACAATGCTGGCCACCATGGGGCTTAGAGGAATGACATGTCAGTTTTAGGGCTTCCCGCAAGCAAAATCCCCAAAGGCATGGAGCCAGTTATGGCTGTGCCTACAATCATCTAAGGTGTTTTGGGGGCTTGCACATACACCATTGATGATACTGTGTTGACAATTTGATGAACCAGCATATCAGCTCCAAATCCATTCCTAAATTTACTACAATATTCTTAATCAAGATTTCAAAAGTGATGCATATATTTTATAAACCTGAGATGAATAGTGAGCAAGAATAGCCTCTCCTTAAGCGGGGTATAACACCAGAAATCTTCTATACCTAGTGTCAGTAAAGATTAAATATGATTGTGAAGGTTTCCTTGCTCTTCACCGGTAAATGGCCTGACTCTATCATTCCCAAGGACATGGACACAACAATAAGAATGAAGAATGAAGAATGTGCACATGAGAGTACTACACAACTTAGGGGTATTAAATGCATAACCATGTGCCCTTACCTGCAATTTGCACTGAACCAGAGATTTTCTTCCACTGTCAGGTTTCCATGAACGATATCATCTTGGGGCACAAAACCGATAATTTTCTTATAAGAGTGAATTGATTCATTCTTTCCATTTATTAATATTAAACCACTCTTCTTGCATCCAAGTGCTTTTCCTGCAAGTGCTGAAAGAAATGTTGTTTTACCAGCTCCTGAAGGACCCATGACAGCAGTAATATGACCTGGTTTTATATTGCCAGTAACACATCGCAGTATATACTTGTTTTGTGATTTTAAAATAAGACTCAGATCTTTGAATGAAATCTCAATAAGAGGTCTTTTTCTTTGTTCACTGTTGGAGGCCATGCTAATTACTCCTGAGAAGGTAAGGTTCTTGTATTCTTGTTGCCGAGCCTTCTCTTTCTCAAGCTGAGAATACGCATGCCTGAATATCTTGCTACGGGCATGTAGTTTTTTACCCTTGGAACTATTTGCAGTGACAACCCGATGTCCATCTTCCATATCAAACTCATCATGGACAATAGATTCATTTTCAATTTCATGCCCAGTTTCTATCTGATTTCTGGAATCCAAAGTTGCCCTTGAAGCGTTCGGAGGTAAGGGTGATAACAAGTCACCATCTGCCTCAGGGATCACTTGATTTAAAATCTGAAGTTCTTCGGAGTGAGCTATATTCTTTTGATGTGAAAATGAGAAAGACAAATGAGATTGAAGCCTGCTAGCATGCCTCGTAACGGAATCTTTAGCATCTTTCCACCTTCTACGTGCTTGTGCTGAGCTCTTTACACTTCTAGCAGCTGCATCTCTTGATTTGGCTAGCCTTCTTTCCCTAATTGAGAGTACTTGATCAGAGCAGCTGTAAATAACAAGTAGCAAAGTACTCAAACCAACCTGCATAAGCAGTAAACAATATCAGCTTCCATTGATATGCTCTCTTCTCCATGAGGGTCTTAGTAAAGTTTTTCTTTTCTCTCCTTTTTTTTTTTTTTTAATGACAGTAAAGTTTTTCTTATTGGGTTGAAGGTTTGGAGGTGATCAACTTACTATGAACATGATTCCATATACATGAAGGTTCTGACTTTCAGTGCCCGACTTACATGGCACCAAATTGTAGCAGCCTGCAAGATGATGATCAATGAACATCATATGCATGTGCATGTAGGAAAGAATTCAAATTAGCACAACTGAAATAATTCAAAGTAGTCATTTAAACTCACGTTTCTCAGATGTGGACCCCATCCTGCAGTAATTTCTGAGATATCACCAGGGGAAAAAAAAAGACAGACATCAGAGTAATGAAAATGACGGACAAATTTTTATGAAAAATTATCAAAGCAGACCAGAGTACATATGCATATCAGATCTTAGGACCATTCGAGCAATACAGATAAGGGAATACTCTTCTCTACCCACTTTCATGTCAAAAGACTCAGCTTGGCAGGACAAGAGAGCAGAATAATGATATGCTGGTCCAAGCTTCTTCCACAACATATCATACTAGACTGTAACTGGCAGTGTCGATTAACTTTGCCAATAAATAGTAAACAAATGTCCAGGAAAAGGGCAATACCCATTACTGCAAGGGATTTTTTTGGTGGTTGATGGACAATAGGATCCTGCTGGACAAAATACTTCTTCACTGTTATCAACATCAGCCCAAATATTTGCTCCTCCACATGTATGGTTTGGCTGGTTTGCTGGTAGCCGGTACTGATATCTGGATCAATGTATTATAGGTTAATTTTCTAAGATGTCAATAAATGATTATTGAAAACAACAGATATAGAGCAAGAATTAGAACTCACGGTTCACATAAACCACTTGTTCGATTCAGTGTTGCTAGGGGACAATAGGAACCCAATGGACAAGCTTCAAGAAAAATAGATCAAGCGTCCAAAAAGGAAGCATTAGAGAAAACTTTTAACATGGGAAAAGAAAACTATATTTATCATCAAGCAAGTGTTAATGGGCTTAATATTTAATAATTGTGCAGACTCTTCAGAGAAGGCAATAGTGAATGACCCAATTTCCAAATTTCAGGACTTTATATGACATAAGCCAAATGGCTTTTCTCATTACCAGCTGATACAACATGGGCAACTAAGATGAATGGACAAGAAAATAATCACAAAGAAGATACTTCCAGTCATCTTTGAAAAATAAAGTATTTCAAAGATCGAAGACGCTTACGTATCATGCAGGTAAGACCCTGGGGACAGAAGAAACCCTCACAACATGCCTGGCAGCTTGTAGTTCTTGCTGGGATATCCTGTGAAGTTCTAAGGTCAACCTGCTGATCTGGGTCAGTACTACACGCCCATCCAGGCTCACACCCAGAGCCCCATGAAGTTAAATTGCAATTCCTGTTAGGCTTCAAGTAACTGGTGCTTCCAATTTTTTCAGTTATACTTCTAAAATAAGACTTCACTTCTGCTACCGTGCAGAAACGTCGTGTAATATCTCCTATTGAATTATTAGAGACGTTAGAGACAAGACGGTCCACAACCACAACATGCAAGAAATAAACTAGTAGCAGAACAGATTGCCCGGTAAATTGAAAAGCACAAGCTTATTATATCTTTGAAAGCACATTTGGTTCAGGGGGAAGAAATCCGACATTAACCTCATGGTTTTGCAGAAAGAAATGGAGGTTACAAGAACAATGATGGGGTGAAAATAATCATGCAAATAGATTGCCTGGGATGGAGAATGATGGGTGGATTAACATTAATTGTAGCCTATCAATGTGCAGTGCTAAACCATGACATTAACAGCATCATTCTTTCAAGAAATTAACGCTTGATTATAATTGGTTCTTCAAACAAAAGCAAACATTATTTTAAACTTACACCTAAACTAACATTCCACCCCAAGAAGAAAAAAAGAAAAAAAGAAAACCTTACCCCTAACAATAAGATCTTAAAACCTTAAATTCTTCTGTCTCTTAATGACACTTTATGACATTCCTGAAATAACTCTACCACTAGATCCACTACTCATCAATCGACTTTTAAAAATTGCTTAACTTTTATCTTGGAGGTAAAATCCTCAAATTTGGCTGCAAATGGCCGGAAATGGAAATTGAGAAGGGGCTGAAAACTGAAAAGCTGGAAGACATGTTATTCTTTGTGCCTTATTCTTAGACATAGAAACTAACATAAACAAGAATTGACATTGCCTTTCCAAGTATAACTGCTCATACCTTGAGTTTTCTGAATGCAAGAAGTCAAGAAGCTTAAATCGGATGAAAAGTTAAATGCCTTGTTCCACTCAGCTTCCCTAAAATGGCAAAAGTAGGTTCAGAACAAAGTTCATAGTACATGATTCTTGAAGTTTGGTGGCATCTAACGTGAAGCTAATACAACCATTGAGTGCCTTTCCGACGCTAAAATATCCACAGGGCAAAGCAACATAACACTTGAAGCAGTCATAACACCACATTTTAAGGGCGACAATTTGATACTTAATGCCCAATTACTCTCATGCCTCACGAACCATTACGTGAGAATTATATAGAAAACAGTAAAACAATATGCTTCTAAGAAGATTGAAACAGAGATGTTCAACCTCATGGAACCGAACTAAAACTTACACTCGGAGGACCAAAAGATCAGCCCATTCTATTATTAAAAAACTATATGACAAAAAACATGGACAAGTACAGGGATAAATTAATGAAGCACTCACGGGTCTTTGACGCAGAAGCTGGACTGGCTTTTGATTTCCTTGCTGAGATCTCTAGTAAGATTGGAGAGTTGGGCATTCACAAGCTGTGTCATAAAGGGAAGAGCACCAGAAGAATCACCGAATGGATTGGGGCCACTGTTAACTTGGCACTGGACCAAATTCAAGGAGCTCAGAGTCAAAACCACAATGGCTAACCATGACCAAAGCATTCTGCTGCCAAACCTAGAAGAAGAAGCCTTAAGACTCGTTTTGCAAATTTCAACGCAGAAGGGAATTGGGTTCTCGGGATCAGTTCATCAGGGAGTAGAAGCAGTAATGTTTGGGAATCCGAAATGGGGATTCTGAAAGATTAAACTTCGAATGTAAAATTGGAAATCCCGAGATTGTAGCTTGGAGACAAGTAGAAATGAGTAAGGCCCGAATATTGGTAATAAGGATTTGGGGACCATTTCTATGAGTTGAACCAAGAGTCCGAGTAGGACCCACGAGAGCAGCCGCCATAGCTATGTTCACAAACGACAGCCAGAATCAGGAGATTTGTTCAGCTTGATTGTTAAGTGTCAGCAATTTCATAAACGAATTAGTTTATATTGGCGGCCTCCCGGGAGAACTCAGTCAGACAAGGCCATTGAAGAGCAGACGCGGGAACGGATTGAGAGTTTGACCTCTTCGAATATTTTTAACGGATAAAAAAAAAACACGTAAATTATTATTATTATTTTGGCTCGCATAGAAAGATTTTAATATAAGAGTTAATTGACCAATTTAAGTAAATTAAATAAATTAGTTAAATTAGTTATTTATAATAAATAGGAATTATCTTTTTTAAAATACTTTTGATAATCAAATGTCATTTGATAAAAATTTTATTAAATAACATTTGATTATCATAAATAACTAATTAAGAATTTTATCATAAAATATTTAATGTATACAATTACTATAAGAACTATCTTGTGAAAAATAGATAAATATAAGAGATAAAATGAATTCGAGTTTTACATTTAAAACTAAATTAAAAATCAAACTAACTCTTATATTAAGAACAGGAGATACTATAAGATTTAATCCCAGATTTAGTATTGGAAAGTTAAACAAGACCTCAAAGTTTTCATTAACTGATTCACGTTCCATTCGATGCCTATGATTATATTGAATGTATTCAATTATATTGAAAAGTCAATTGAGAATATTCAAATCTAAGATAAAAGAATAATGAGTATGTAAATTATGACAAAAAAATCAAAAAGAAATATTGCAAAGGATACACGCTTCTTATTTGTCTATTAATTAAGTTATAACCAATACAAAATCGCACACTATGTTTTTTTGAATCTTAAGTAATTTGAATAATGAAAATTGCTTGCAGATTACTTAACATATTCAGATTGTGTATTCAACCGGTTCTATAAAATTTAGTGTCAAAATTGGTATTCAAAACGCATTAATGATAATGAATAAATTGGAAATAATGCAACATATAAGAGTGTGATTGTAATTTTAATGTCTTAACTTGAAATATATAGAATCAGCTCAACTAGAAATTTAAAATTTATAAAATTGATTCAAATCTGTTGTGCCATTCAATCCGTCAGGCCATATTGACGAAGTAAGCACACGTTTAAACACTTCTTATTCCTTATGTCAAGTAATACAATGGTTAACTTGTATTTTTGTATTTTTTTTTTCCAAAAAGAGTCAACAAATTTAAGATAAAACAATGGTCAAGGGATACAAGTTTGTTATTTGCAATTACTTAGTTAATTTCAAACAAATTCAAATGAAAATTGATGCATTATTTAGTTGATATTTTTTAGTTTATTATGATATATTTTTATGGGAAAATGCTAAAGCCAATTTCCTTATATCTATTACATCATATGTCCTTTTCTTTTTCATGGGTGTTTATAATTAAATGACAATGGTCCAAAAATAGGACATATGGATATATATATATATATATATATATTTATATAATTTGAGGACTTAAAATAATAAATATAAAAAGATAATGTAAGAAATGAGGTTAGAATCTGACAATGCGAGAAAACAAAAAAACAAAAAAAAATAAAATGAAGTACAAAGTAAACTTAAACCCAGTTAATCAAAGTTTAAAGCCAAATGGCCATTAAAACATGAAATAATTTTTTCATGCTCCTGTCATTACCTAATCAAACTTGTTTCCTTTTATATTTTTTTTTTTGGAGTGACAAAAGGTATTCTTCCTTTATAAAATCATTTTCTAATTTCATCCCTTTTTGGTGGGGCCAAAGCAATTGTCCTTTCTTCTACTTCATCTCATTATGAAATTCAAAAGCCAAAGCCAAAGAATCTCAATAACTAAATATTTACTCTTCACCTCTAAATATAAATCAAAGCTGATAATACAAATAAGTAAGCATTGCTTCACTTGAAAACTAACATCTTAACTCACAAGAAAGGAAAGACCTACAATAAGATACTCAAGGTATATGAGTCATAATAATTATTGACAGGAGACAGCCTCAAGATTGCAGTATATTTACATACATTAGATGATACTTCAAAGCCTGATCTGATCTGATCTCTTGTACTGCAATTAACCATTTACACTTGTTTTGCTTTACAGACAATGGAACTCATCATCTATATATATATATATATATATATATATATACTCTCCCAAAAAGACTAGTAATTGGCATAGCTCTAATGACCTTGAACTTTTACAGAGTGGACTCTCTCTTCAGAGTTTTGCAGAAAAATAGCTTATTTCAATGGCCCAGCTGAGAGTGTGTTTATCTACAAGGCTTTAAAAATCTTCACAGTTAAGGTTTGCAGTAGGAACTCACTAACCAACATCCGTGTTAACTGTACAAAAAGGATGTTCTTTATTAGGTGGCATGTCCTCCTATGCCAGAAGAAGTCGTCTAGGCCAACAAACCGATGCGCCTTTCTGCAAACAAGGCGCTTATGAATAATCAAGATTATACAAACTTCTATAAGGAACAGGAAGTAATCTCAGCATGGCTTACCTCCAGTGGTTATAAGCTTCTCGACACGAGAAACAATATGTTTACCGTAAGTGTACCGCTTCAGGGCATTTAGATGAACCTTAATCCGAGAAAGAATTAAGGCGAGACTTTGATCATCACATGTCTCAAGAACCTTTTGCACAACATAATTTCCAAAAGGATCCTTCATCATAGCCTGCAATTTGCATGTTACATTATCAATTTATTCAGTAAGAAACTGTAATTTGATACTGGAACTTTTAGCAGGAAAGGAATTCCAAAACAGGTTCCTCTCTTTAGAGAATTTTAGCAGGGTACTCGTTAACAAAATATTGCCACGGACCTCAGGTGTAGCAAGAAATAGGGGATTAAAGAACACAGAGCAAATGATAATCTCCAAATTGGTAAAACTAAAGGATGGGTCGATAGTTTCAGAAATTTGAGGAATTAAACAAAATGGGAGGGGGACTAACGCCAGCTTCATGAGTGCACATTCAGAATAAGAAGGAGAAACAACAATAACATAAATCACGTTTTAATCTCGTCTGTTGATTCTTTTAAAAAATAAGAAAACTAAAAGCAGAGTTCTGTAAAAATTTGCGCAATGAACCAAATTTAAAACAAGGTGGGCACACCTGTAAAGGCTCATTCTCATCAGTGGTCCCAAGCATCTCATTCACCAAAAGTTGACGCTCCTCAGGACTGCCAAAAGCCAGGCACTTCTCAACAACATTAGAAGCAAATTTCTGCTGGCTCATCTTTACAATTTGCCCGGCAAGTTTGGTGATGATAGCAGATCGTTCATGCGGTTTTCCATGTTGCAAGACATGCTACAAAGAAAGGTAGGGTAAAGGAGCAACAAGGGAATAAGTGAATAGTAAAAATGATATAAATATGTTATTAGACCACACCTAGGCAAGCAGATAAATTTTTCTTTGCACACTCAAACACTACAAAGAAGGCTGTCGGAGGCACTGGTGAGCAGGGTTGAATGGAGTTAGTAGAGGAAGACCCCGGGGGGGAGGGGGACCCAGATAACTGACTGAACAGGACTTTTAGCTGTTGATGGGATATAATGGCATTGTGCAACTCATATAGTTGACCTCATCTAGTAGGATAAAGGCTTGTTGTTTTTGTTATCACTCAAAATTTAAAACAGCTGCTATATTTTTTGGGAAAATTATTATTATTATTATTTTTCATTATCTTGATGGATGACATCACCTTGATGTCGAACTAATAAATTTGAAGAATAAATTATCCGGGACGCTTGAAAGATGGCCCATATAACTTGTAAAGCACCGGGATTCAATACAGACTTGAAGAATTAAGGATTCACAACCTATGAAGATATACTGTTACAATAAAGCAGCTATCTCCATTGCCCTTTAACCAGTCCTCCATGACATAACCAACCAAACATGTTAAACTTAAACCAAATAAGCAATCCTAAATGAAAATAGGAAGTAAAATGCAGACCTGAATAACATAATTTCCATATTGATCTTGTGCTAAATCGCAGACACATTGCATGATTTCATCCATAATAATTTCTTGTGTATTTGGATCATTACAATGCTCCAGAACCCTCTGTTAAGAGTTGTGGAAAACGTTAAATGATCATCAAGTAAAAGTTTTGATAACCGCATCCACATAGATAAATTCCAGACAGCAATGTCTAACCTGAATAACACGACACCCATATGGATGGGAAGAAAGCGCCACAACTTGGCCATAGAAAGATGAGATAATAAACTGAATTCGATCTTGAGGAACACACTCTATGCACTTTTGAATAACATGATTACCATTTTGATCACGTACACATTTCATTACTGCACCGTCAAGCTCTGAAACCATTTGAGTTTGATGCTCAACATCAACCACCTCCAACGCCTGCAGATGATTTTTGACAATTATTTTTAGTTATATGACAAGAAAGCAATTATGGTCTCAGCATAAACCCATAAACAAGAGATGCACTAAAGAGAATTCTGCTTATGCTTATATCTGATCATAAACAGAAAGCGTTGCCATCATATTTTCATATTATTACACAATAATAACAGCCAATCAGCCAAAAAAGAAACAAACAGCCGACTTTTGTAATAGTAGTGGCACGCAAGCAAAGTTTAGAGATAGCTGAATTACAAATATAAGTTCACATTTACTCTCTCATGCATACAGCCTTGAGTATTACTCATAATCCACGGTGAAACCTATAAAATTCAGTCAACTCTAATTTTTACCATAAGCCTAATGTTCAAGTACATTCAGGACATAACATAGTAATGGAATGGAAATGCGACATTTATTGGCCACATTAAGATATGTACCAAGCAAGCCTACCTATTTCAGTACAGTGGAAAGCGGAGAGTATAATATAAATATATCTCAGCTTATACACTATTTACTCATCAAAGGA